TGATAAGCTTTTGTAGTGTGATCATACGAGATGTTGACCCGAACCAATAAAACATATTTTTTTAGGTCTTCGTAAATATTCTCAATCAAAACATGCTCTTTGAGAAATGTCAATAAAATGGTGAATAGCAACTCGTTCAACGTATTTCAATTATTGTGTGGTTCTTGTATATATATTGGTATACCTAAAATGTACTGCTTAAAATGTTTTACCACGTATAACTTTTTACGGTATGCTAAACAGTAGTTTATGTTGTTGAGGAAACTGCATGGTATCAAGCGCATCACTAAATCTTGGCACATTTTATGTACGAGTGGAGCTAAATGCAGTTGGATAAATCACCAATTGTCAGTCTGAACTCTTATCGTAATGTATGTAAAATGCAAAAATACATTTTAGGAAATCTCCAGTATATAGGACTTCATAAAACGGACTTAAAACCTGCTAGATGATGTTGGGGGTGCAATTGATAGAAGATTTTCAAAACTTTTCACGTAAGTAATAAAGTTCATTGGAGAGGTTAAGCTTTGCATATATAATCGAAACTGAACCTGTACGTATCACTCGACCATATACAAATTCACGTAGCCTTCTCATATAAATAGCCGTTCAAATCCAGTGTTTGTTTAGACTACACCATAGCGTGTAATGATTCTATAGTATGTCATTGATGTGGTTTTATAGCTGGTTTTCTAATACATATTTTAAACGAGCTCGTTTCGTAAGATTTTTGGCGCTAAATCATGCATGACATACATCATCGTGTTCAGCAAGAATTCAACTGTGCATCGAAATCAAAATTGACAGCATAGTGTTCAATAGACACGAGTAAAATGGTTCCCGTTGACCCAACGTCAAATTTCAAATATCCCGTTCTAAACCCGAAACTCTGAAGCTGAAAGAGTATCTGAAGTAGACTAAGCGCGCATAAAACTATGAGCGCTCGATACATTCCTTTGTTAATTTTTGTACCTTGCGTTCACGGTTACGTTGTGAAAAACATCGTTAAGGCCCGGTCACACCGCCTACACGTTGCTGGAGCGTTCCTTGAACGTTGAAAAAAATCATCAACGCTCGTAAACGTTCACCACCGTTTAACAAAAGTTGGCATCCGTTAAAGCAACGCTGTAAACGCTCGGCCAACGCGAATGTTTCTCGAGTGGCCATCCTAACGCTCCAAAAGTTTTGAGCTGCTCAAAATATTGCGAGCGTTGAAAAAGGGACAATTTTACGCCCTGGCAAAGTTTATCACCGCTCCTCCAACGCCCAGTCAAAGTTTGGCACCGCTAGACGCAAGTTCGTGGACGCTTGAATCCGTTAGACAAACGCAGAAATCTTAAACGCTGGACCACCGCTGCCTCGCCAGCGTTGCCCGGGCGGTGATTAAACGTTGCACAAACGTCGGTGGAGCGGTTGTTAGCGTTTTATCAGCGTACATGGGGTTGTTGGAACGGTGTCGGACGTTGTCGCAGCGTTCCATGGCGGCGATGAACTTTGCTTTGGCGTTGGTATAGAGGTGTCGGAGCGGGACCAGAATTTGGCTATAAATACGTGGAGAAATGCACCACTGTGTAGAACACTGTGGAGACACTTGTGCATTTTACATTTGATATATATTCATGTCTGGCATTTCAATTTTTGCATTGTAAATTCCTAAATTAAGCGCTCAAAGTTTGTGATTTTGGATTTTAAAAAGGTGAATTATGCGATTTTTGTTTTTCATTAAATGTTAATACAAATAGACTTTTACTGAGACCTTTATTCAAATATAGTATATACCTATAATAAGTGTTTTCACGTCAAGCAATTCAATAAATTATCTGTGAATTTTCTGCGCAGCTTGTAAAATGTTGCACTCGTCATGGTACTAGTTATATACAAAAAGTTCGTGCGCGCACAGCAATGCAAAAATTTGTCATGCGTCATGATTATTACTTTGCTGTAAATGTTATTTGACATTGTTAAAGCAATTTGAACGTAAATCGGTTCCAAGTAATGGAAATGCAACGATTAAATTGTGATATGTTTGTTTGAAATGATATGAGAGATTATTAAAGAAAATTGTAATGTTATTCATTCTTAATGTCATATTACATCAATAGAAGCACTTTAGATTTAAAACATTTCTTCTTTAATCCTTGAAGGACTTTTGTTAAAGTTACAAATTCCAATAAAGGTCTTTACTCCTAAACACTTCCCACTTGAAATAATTTCCCAGTAGTCAAACGCGATATGCTGCTAAACCAACGCTGCTGCTATTTATACCCCCGCCGAGGCAACGCTCTCATGCGCAGAACGCCGCTATACCAACGCTCGCATTACCGCTAAACAAACGCTAGCTACCGCTCGCAACCGCTTAACCAACGCTAAAGCAATGCCGGCTTCAGCGGTGCAACGCTAAGCCAACGCCAGTGTTTTTGTTTTTTTCCCCATTTTGTGCGCGTTGACGAGCGTTGATGAATTTTTTCAACGTTCAAGGAACGCTCCAGCAACGTCCGGGCGGTGTGACCGGGCCTTTAGCTTAACCTCTCCGATCATTTAAAATACTATGCATGATAGCAGATAGTCTTACAACAGGTTCTTCTCTAGCTAGCCTCAACTCATGCATCACACCCACATGACATTCTCACTATTATGCCGACTCGGAAAGGATAACCCTTGATGGCTAGTTGTGGCATAGATATGATACAAGATCGACTAAAACGCAGATGTTATGTTTTAATTATTTGAGAAATTGAGATATGTATCTTTTCAGAATTATTAAAGACAGATGTCGGGCTTCTTAAATATTTTAATCTTTAATAAGTTGGCAGATAACCTTGTTTGGAATGTAATATATTTAATTCGTTGTTAAGTCCTGTGACCAAACATTTCAAATGTATATATTTTGTCTTGAGCGGGATGAATGCGTAGCTTATTTCGTGTCGGATACATATACGCACGCTTATTCCTGGGTCACACTTGCCCCGATTCAACGGCTGGCGCCCGGCCGATTAAGTATTTTGTTCAAAACTAAATACAATTGTGAACAAAATACTCAATCGGCCGGGCCCCAGTCGATAAATTTGGGCAAATGTGACCCAGGCATTGGAATATATTGTACCGTATTTGACTATAGGGTGACCCAAAAATACAACCCTCTAATTTTAAAGTATAAATTAACAATTTAAACGAAACTTTCTTCAATGAACATGCAGAGGAGGTGCACCATACGAATACAAACGTTTTAATAAATTATAAGAGCGCACACCTAGACTGAAAACTCGATTCCTTTTAATCTCTAAATCGTAGATATGATACGCTTTTCACCACGTTAATTGTTTTGGTTCACCCTATATATTATTCGTTGAGTACGACGTACCTTTTTTTACGACAAATGGAGGCAAATGACGAAACAATGAATATCATACAAAACTCCTTAAAATATATGTCTAAAAATGCTTTGCAAACGATTGAAAGAAAATACTGAAAATGATAAAGCCAATATAGAAATAAAGAAGATTAAGAATTAAACAGCAGGTATCCCTCTCCATACGTTTGGGAGCCAGAGAGCCCCCTTTCCTTTAAATCTATTTAAAATCTGTTTGTGTTTAACAATTTATCAAATTTGACCATGCATTGTAATCAAAGAACAAAATAACGATTCAAACATTGACAAAGTTTTATACGCTATTTAATGAAAACGTTCAATTGCCAAACTTATGGAAGGGAGTGTATGTTTTGATTTTTACAACATCTACAGTAACTCATGGTGCAGATTAAAGTTTAATAATTACAAACATATAGCAATACATATGAATGGTAAATACTGATAAATATAAGTTTACCATAATAAGTATGTTAGATTACACATAGACATTATGGCTCTGGACTTCATTAATCCGAGGCAGGGGCGGATCTAGGAACCAACAAGGGGGGGGGGGGGGGGGGCGAACTTCTGGTCTGAGAAAAAAAATTCCACGCTTGCGCTTAAAAATATTTGTGCCCCTAAAACCAAAAAGTGGGCCCAAATTTTGAAATTTTGAGGCCCATTTCTTCAAAAGGGCTAAAATTAAAAAATAAGGCCTTTAGAAGGCTCATTTATGACCAACAAGGCCACTTTTTGGGGCCTTAAGGCCTTTTTTGGCTCAAAATTGTTTTTAGGCCAATTTCTTTTTCTGAGCCCACCCAAGGAGGGGGGGGGGGGGCTACCCCCCGAGATCCGCCAGTGCGAGGTACGTTTTACCTGTTAGTCTCAGGTTTTACTTAAAACTGCGACAAAAAGGTTTGAAATTTTCTGTCATTGTGAAATTAAAGCATCAACATTTCTCAAACAGTCAGTACTCGCAGATCAGTAAGGAGGGGAGGGGGTCATCCAAGTGTGGGGGGAGATGTTTGGCCCATTAGAGGCCTGCACTAATGCCTTGGTCACATTTGCTCAGATTTTCACGACGGCGCCCGTCGAGAAAAACACTCAAAAACACTCAATCGGCCGGGCGCCGGCCGATTGATCGGAGCAAATGTGACCCAGGCATTAGTTGGCCTTTTTGGTAATTACTTATGCGATCCTTTTGTGCCTTTCACCTTTTGATTTTAAAAGTTTTGATTTTAGAGGCCCATATTTTTTACCGCGAAAGCACGAAATATTTTTTGTTGGTTGAAATGTGTGCCCCCCTTCATAGTTTTTAGATCTCCCTGGTCAAGAGTGGGTAAGTATCAATACTAAAACTCCGGACAATGTTACCTAAGGACAGTATCCTCGTTACAGTTACACAGCGTTGAATGAGACATCTATATATAATAGGTAAGTTAAAACGACCTTTTAATCCACTATAAACCTCCTTTCAACAGCTTCACATTATAGCCACGAGAAAGAAATGCGATTACTTCTAGGAGGTAACAGTTATATGCCCGCTTCACTTATCCCAAGAGGGTCAAAATTAATACACAAAAGTAGGTATGTTTATATTGGAATGGAGTTGAATAAATCTTCAAAACGAAGTTAAAAACAGTTTCGTGGAATGGATATTAATAATATCTTCAACATCGGTCTTCGAAATGGTAGACCAATTGACAAAACAAATCTGGAGGAACAGGATCACCGTGACAACCAGGTATGAAGAGTAATATTAATAAATTGCATACATATACATGTAATAATGTGTAACACTTTTTATAATGTACCCTTCTCTGCCTATAGTACTTTTTTGCATATAAAAACAGAACGCTGGTATAATACTAGTAAGCCATATATTCAGGTACTCCAACGTCATTCTGACCCGATCTCACGAACAAATGAAACAATCCAATTGTACAATTGCAAGTATAATCTAAGTCCATATCGATGCAGCACTGTTTTACTGAATGCGTTTATTTAATACTTTAAGTACACAGCTGCTGATTTATATGGATATTTATATAACTAATAGTTTCTGAAACAATGATTTTACTACTAATATAATGGAGACATACCCGGAAATTTAGAATATGGTTCTCCATTAGTTATATTACCCTTTTTTGTTATACCTCTTCCAACTTAAACATAGCATTGAATGAGTATTATGGAATGATTCAGCATAAGCATGGGCTTTTTTGTTAGTAGTATGTGTTAAGACAGGCCGAGTTTCCAGGGGGACGAGGGCATGCTCCCTGAAAATGTTTTGAGCGATTTGGCGATTTTATGTCAAAATCTATTCTTTAGCTGATCAATTTTATATCTTTATTTTCGTTTTGAATTTATCTCAATTCTGTATATACCACATACGATTTATATCATATAACTAGGTTCACTATTGTAATGTTAATTAAAAACATATATATGTTGAAATATGAATTGAATTTAATGGGAAAAATTCTAAGAAATAACAATTTAAAACTCGAGAATGAAGGAGTGATTTTCCCTCTTTTGATCCCCATTTTTGTATCTTTTCATTTTTTCTTAATTTGAGATTTTTTTCTCTTACATTAGTTTTTGTTATCCTTGACAGAATTTGTAATGGTATAATTGTGTACAAAAAGAAAATGGTTGTCAGGAAACGTTTGGAAATTATAAACCTGCATTACATATTATATTTAAAATTTTCTGTGAAAATCGATTAGTTCCAATTCATACAATAGATTGCCTGACTCATTATCATTTTATCAGTCAGAAAACTGATTATTAGCTTTTACTCAGTAAAAATATAATAATGTCAATATTTGATAGGGGTATAATTATTTGATTATATAGGGAATGTGATATTATTCTATGATAGATTAATATAATGCCTATTAATCTAGGACAGTAGCCAGTCGGAAACACATATGCAAAATTATGATCATGTCATGACGTTATAGAATACAATAGTGACTGTGATTAAAGCGAGAATCTACTTGGATATTTGACAAAGTTTTTGAGAAACAATACACAGGTATATGGATATTCAAAACAAAAGTCCCCAATATACAATTCACAAGACTTAAATACACTGCGTAAGATATTGATAGTTTGAAATATTTCATCAGTATAAAAACAAGCACATATAAACGATTTATTACTAATTATACCTAACTACCAATTTTCACTGTCAAACTTAACAGTATCTGATAAGTTTGTACACAAGTTTGAGGTGAATCGTAAAATAAGAAAAACAAATAAGATTAATTAGCAAAATCTCATCTTCTAATATTTTGAATGTCCCTTAGAAACGTAAAACGCTCATATACGAGATGTTTTCTATTCATGAACGATTTATTTTGTATTCATGAGTTTTTTAAGTCCATTTATTTGACAACATAAGTCAACCATTTACATATTTGGTATTGTGACTACATACCCTTTTAAAAGTATGGTTCCCACAGGATGGCAATCTAGGTCAACTATAGTAGTTTAAAATCAGTTCGGAACTGATATTTAAGCCTGGAATATCGGGGATGCAGTTCACTTAATTAGTGACATCACTAGATATTGAAGTTTGCATTAGCCAAGACTAGGATAGGAAAGAATATATTACTCAAAAACAAGGAAAGTAATACAAATAGATGGGTATACTAATTGTAAAAAGCACACAAAGCCATCATGATTAAAAGTTAGCGTGGCATCAAAGCACCGATTGCTTGGGACATCATTTCTATCATAAGACAGATTAAGGTTATGTGCCCTGTCAATTTGGATTCTCCAAAGGAACATAAATGTCGTTAATAAGCTATCACAGATGTAAATGCCGTATATGGAACAATATAATAGTAGCTCTAAATGCAGAATATATGCGTTTGCATTGTTAGAGTGTTTCATCAGATATGCATGGCTAGACAACTAGCTATAGATACTAGTACAAGAGATATATACAATACAAAAACAATCATTTGATAAAGGAATGTCATCGTGACTCGGTGTTCCATCAATTTTGCTCTTCATAGGCAAATAATAATTCTATAGATATAAGTAATAGCGTTTAGTAGAATCAACTCTATTTTCTCAACGCAAATATGAATCGCTCGTTCTATCCACAGGATTTAGGTTTAGAGACAGCACCCGGTATCTCTTCTAGTAACTATGGTGATGGGGGTCTGCGGAAGAAAGAAGCGAAAGGCAGCGACATGGACTGTCGCATGGTTACTATTACACAAGGATCTCATAGTAAGTAGAACATGAAGATAGTACCGTTCATTATTTCTATATCCATAATGAGGTAAGTTTAATGTTTCATTATTGAGTAGATTTTTCGTTTTTCCATCATGTCGGTTATAAGGTACTGGTGACCTCGTACAACAGTATTTAACCTAAGGAGACTGAAGGTATGATTTATGCATGTGAGTGACTGGATGTTTTTATGCTTAGAAAGTCAGTAAAATGAGGACATCTTCTTAATATATTTTGTTTCATGATTCGGAACCGTGTATACATACTTGACCCTGATCTGCCTGAGATATCGGGGGTCCCTATAAAACAGTTTTTTATTGTGGCCATGTGTAAATTGAGTGTAAATGAGTATTTGCAAGAGTAGATCCTAAAATAAAAGCTAAAACAATAACACCATGAATAAATCAGAGACATTAGCTCATGGTCCTTCAAAATTTGACCATGTGACCTTTTATTATAATGTTACATGCGCATAATTAGAATGTGCTTTAAGACATGTTCCATTTCTTAAAAGGAAAGGTGGGATTTCTCCAGGGACTCCAGGATATTGAATTTGGATGACCAAAATGAGCTGAGACCAATGAATACCCTGCATTTTTCAATGGGGGAATAACATGGGGACGACTAATCGTTGAGGATTTCAAAATAAAGATTGCAATAAACATTGTAAAAATGATATTAAAATATGGGCGATAGTACCAAAACAGGGTTTCTCCAAACCTAGTGAAACTATGATAATGAATCTTCAACTTCATCTTAATTAAAATGTCAACCTGGTGATCAAATTTCATCGCTCAGAATTATTCCCTGTTTATCACTGTAAATTATTTTTGGGACACCCTGTAAGCATTTCAGAATTCTAACATTTAACAATTATGGCGTAGCGTAATGGATGTAATTATCGCTGAAAGCATTTTAATTACATATGGGATTCCATGGTTCAAATGTTGATATCTTTTCTAATCCCTCGCCAGCCGTGACGAATTAACTTGCCATTAACTTTTTCCGTTAAATAAAAAAATTGCCAGTGGGATAACATTTCTTAAAGACTAACATTTAACCAATACTGTATTGTAAAATTGTAAAATGTATGTTTACCATGTAACTGTATTGTAATTGTTTTTTTGCAATTCTTTGAAATAAAAAAACTATAAAAAAACTTGCCATTTGTCGTATTGTTAGGAATATTTCATACAAAATCAATTTCACTTTTTAGCTTTCTTCAGCAACATGCTCTGCAGGTGATCGTTATCCATTATATTTTCCAATACCATTTCCTTCGTGGATTTAAGCTACAACATGTATTCATACATATTGATTCTATATGATTTCTAATTAAAATCATAGTTTGTTTTTGTCGTCAATTGGTAATCTTTACGAACGTTTTCCGCATGACATGGTTGTAGCCAAGTTCCTTTCACGTATTGGATGGACGCTTGCGTATGGTATAAGTACGACAATGGACTCGTTTGGTGATTTGCATCTGCATGTGGTCATGTATATATTACTTGTTAATAGTATTCTTATTTTAAACTTTGTTGCTCATTTAAATATGGGCAACAAAGTTATACAATACAATACAATACAATACACAATACAACAGTGATGGCGCATGTTGCGAATGTGATGTCAACAAATGAAAGCGACATTAAAGAACCTCATCAGTACTTTCAACTAAAAACTTAATACTGAAGAAAAACAACTAATACAATTAATAATTGTATTTTGCAAGGGAAGCATTAGATAGCTGAGGACTTTGATCTTACTATGTATTCTTTGTGAACTGATGAAACGAATTGTCGACCACTATATATGGGTCGAGCTTGTTCGTTTGGTTATCAATTCCTTAATGTGGCAATTCATACATTTTATAGTAGGACGTACACCGATAACTAAATACATTGAATTGTTTCTTTCATCTTATTTAAGAAGATTTTAGTGTAGCGATATGCTCGTACAAACATAGAATATTGTTATTTATAAATAACTAGAGTATTGTTAAAATATACTTTTTTCTATACTTAATTTCATTGAATGCTGTATTGATTTCGAATCTGGTTTTTATAGTGCTTCAGGATGAGATTCGGCTTCACGAAGCAGCAAAGAAAAACAACCCTGCCACCATAAAGAAAATGCTCGAGGAGAAAGTCGATGTTAATTCCAAAAATAATGTAAGTGCTGATCCAATCCGAAATGAAAATAGAAATAAAAAAGAAATTCAAAACAATTCAAAAATCGAAACCATCGAATATCACTTTTGAAACCATCGAATATCAACTTTTAAAAAGTGATATTCGATGGTTTCAAAGTAATATTCGATGGTTTCAAAAGTGATATTCGATGGTTTGTTGATTTTTTGATGAAATATGATATCTTGATCCACATGTATCAAAATGTATATCTTCACGTGATATTCGATCTATATCCTTTCTAACCATGAGATTCACCAGCCACAACTTAGCCCAGTGTAATTTTAAGTTTGTATATCCCCGGGAGTACATTGTTTTTTATCAGTTTTACATCAATAGTTTGTTATTCCATTAATGTGAGTGTTATTCTATTAATGTGAGTGAGGAATATAACTGTAAACAATGAAATAAATAGTCCATGGAATGACTTCCAAATATGACGGATCCGTAGCACACTATAGCGCAGCAACATTTGAAGCAATATTTAACGAGGTGCTATGTCTTGATTTTTTTAAATCCCAATTGTTGAAAAAACTTCCGGCTCTCGGGTTGAAAAATATTTTGAATCGAAGTTTTATACATTTTATAAGACACAAACCGTTATTCTAAGCATACGGACAATAACATAGATTATCGTAATGTAAAAATTACACTAATTACTCTAATTACACAAGTGTGCTTTTCAGATATTGTTTGAATTTTCAAATACGGATTAAGCAGATTCAACAAAATTTTGTGGAATCTTTAGGTCATTTATGAATGCGAACATATTTGTTTTCTTACCATTTTAATCATTTTATTACTAGAATCTATCCATGCATAAAGGGCTCAAACAACAAATTATTGTTCATGTTTTATAAAACATAAGACAATAACAAATAGGTACGATTTATATCTAATTCAATGTTACAGAGGTATAAGAATGTTCATATATTCCAAGGGCATCTCTAATAATCTATAAGAGTCATATGCAATCGAACGCCTTACAATTCTTCCTCGCTGTTAATGGCTATCATCAGATTATTCTGATGGTTATTTTACCTTTCTGCTGGATATCAACAGATTTTAGGGAGATAATGATGAAGATTTTTCTCAATTACTTATGAATTCGACCAAGTCTTGATGGTTGTTTTATCAGCAACTTAGCAATATCTAAGTACGCTAACTACGAGAAATATAATTTTAGCTATTGCCGCAATTAGTCAAGGCAGAACCTCAAACCCTCCTTTATTGACAACGTTCATCGCGGAATAACAACCCATATATCATAACGTATTGAGACCCATTTTGTCAAAAACTAGCATAATTTAAGCATTTGTCATACTAATATAAAAATAATTCATTTGTACCATATATCTCATTAATGTCTGAGAAACAATACAAAACGCCGATGCACTGAATACATATTTTTGGTATTGATGAGAAAAATAACCTCAAACTTATAGCTTAGAAACCTAAATCATATATTCAAAATCTTTTTATATTATTTTCTGTCGGATTGTGTACTCCAAATTGTTAAAAAAAAGTATTTTAGTTTTTGGTAATTTTGTGACCTCTGCTAATGACAGGTATAATTCTACCTAAAAGCCGGAAGTATATTAAACGGTAATAATAAAAATTATTAGGGAACATCTGTAGGTATGTTAATATTAGGTCAAATATCGCTGCGCTATATTGTGCTACCAGCTCCTTTATTAGACGTCCTAGAGATTTCATACCATGGACATATTCCATTCTATTCTCGATGAATACCTGTGACAATTTAACAAGATGACATTCAACCAACCCTTAGGGCTTAGTGGATGCATAGGAATTCCCCTCAATACATTTTTATATCATATTCTATTACTGTACACTGCGTCAAATGTAAAATTCCAAGCAATTTCTAGACGTGCAAAGATAGTCTAGGAACTCCGCGTATCTAGAGATTCCAAGACGTGTCAAGAGGTGCAAAGACCTCGCGTGTAAAGAGCGTGTCAAGAGTTTTGATATCTCTTTGCACAGCCTTATCAAAACAAACAGTATAATTAGACCGGCCACATGTTGTTATGCCCTATAGTCGCGCTTAATTATACTTTACTAGGATTGGAATATAACAATCATTTTAATTTCGTGTTAATAATAATTTGTGTTTTTTAAATCATTATCAAAATAAAATTAATTTAAAAGTATGCGTGTGCGTGTAAGTATAGGCAATAGCTTAGTCGAAATGAGTAGATGTGTGCAGATAGAGATCGCCTATGTATTTTGCTAAATCTGACATTTTTACAGGATCATGTTAAAGATCAAATGAAAACAAGAAATGTGTTTTTCTTAGGTTTATCTACCCTGATTTCGAGTGATTTTAACTTTGAACCGTGTCAATCAAATTGTCAAATATGTAGATAGCACATGCAGGCCCGAATACAGGGGGGATAGATTGGTTCTAGCGACCCCCCCCCCCCTCCGTGACCAAAATTGCATTTTTTACCCCATACTGAGCACCTTTTAAATTATTTTGCTCATTTTTGAACTAACATTGCCAAAAGTAAACTCCCCCTGGAATTTCTTAAAAAAGTAACCCACCCCTTGGCAAATCCTGGCTATGGGTCTGAAACGCCTGAAACATGCTCTGATATAATGAGGCATATTCTGTGATCTGAGCATATCAGATGGGAAGAGTTATGAATGTCAATAAGTGTGATTGTTATCATGTAATCATCTACCTTAATGTCAATACATTACATAATGTAGTAAGGCATTGTACATGTATTTAACAACAGGCACATCCTTCTTCAAAGGACTTCATTTATACTTGTAAAATACCCTTCCAGCGAGGATGCAACAGGCACAGTTACACAAGTTTTATGACCCCAATTAGATGAAATATGAGCTGGGATGAAAGATCTCAAAAATCAAGGGCTGGGAAGATTTGAGATGTCATGGTTTACTATCATGACGCTGAAACATGTGTCGCTTATTGTCACCTGTATTGATCATGATGGGGCGACGGCAGTGCCCCGAGTCTTTTTGATCTGTTTAATCTTATTAGTTACTATTTAAAATTGAATAATTTAGGACCCCGGAAGCAAAACAACTCATTGTTATGAAAGGAATACACCACCAGGACAGAACCCCTCATGTAAACCATCTATAAATACCTTTGAAATCAATTTGATTTTCGATCTACATCTGAATCTCAGATGGAGAGTACTCTTTGACAAGATCAACATTTAAAAGTGTAGGAAAGTTTTGATAAAGATGTTTAATAGCTAATTATTCAGACATATTGTTCTTTCATGTTGACGATCATCGAACATAATTGCAATCAACTTCCATGATATTTGCAATTTTGAATTTTGAATTATTTTGAATGCAAATGTACTCAAGTACTATATCCTGAGTTCTGCCCGGATCCCCGAAAACGTTTAAAATCAAACTCGATTATTTAGCTAGACTTCAAAATAAGGGATTCAATAGAAACATGAAATCCATATCACTGTATAAATTGTGGAATTTCTAGTAATTTTTAGACGTGCTTAGCCGGTCTAGAAACTCTGCGTATCTAGAGATAGAGGAGGGGAGAGAGGGCTAATTTTATAGCTGAAATTAAAAATAGCTTATGATCTATAAATATAATATATGGTTGTTCTTATAATGAACAACTATTGGTTTAATATCTGATATGTGGACGGATATTTCTTGATTTGGTTTAAAAAGAAACTGAATGTAGGGTTGCAAAAATGAGGGAGACAAAGACGTTCGAAGGGTGGGGGTAAAATTTAATTAAAATCAAGCTGAGAAAGAATGAGAATAAACATATCTGTTAGTTGCTCATGTAAACGAAAACAAATTAGAGGGTTCATTAGCACCGCAGACCAGATTTGCAAAATTGGGGGAGTGCATTTTCCCAGGATTTCAAACAATACTATATCTAAAATGTTGCCCCTCATATGCCTGGGTCATATTTGCTCCGATTCATCGGCCGGGGGCCGGCCGATTGAGTGTTTTTTCAACAAACATGAAAACAATTTTAAACAAAATACTCAATCGGCCGGAGACATAAACATGACCGGGTCGGTCAGGGGAAGGTTTGCATACGATGCAATTTGTACATGCAAGCTCATTTTTCACATATAAATTAATAAAGTCGATTCCTTGGGAATACGTTATTGGGTTTATAAGCGTAACGAGGAGAAGCGGTGGGTTCGCACCCTCTCCTACAAGCAATAAAGGTACCATAAGGTAGAGGAAGAAAAGAGCATTAAATTGATTTTTTGTTTGAAGCTTCTAGCTCAGGTTTGAAGGAAGTTACATCATTTTCGTAAAAATTCAAAACAAATATTTTTTGCCTCATTTATGTCACGATCGCACCCCCCGACTGAAAACCTAAAATATTTTGGTGATTGCATCACCCCTCCACCCGACTGAAAGCTGGCTGCGGCCCTGGGGTTTTATCGAAAACTATATCGTCAACATTTTATCATTATGCGGAAAGTCTAATATGAAATCTTAAATGGTAAATATGTTGCATTTATGGAGGGAATTCCACTGTAAACTATAATGTGAATGTTTGATATGAATACTTCCATACAACCATCAATATCCATTCTTTTGAAATAAGATGTTACAACAAAGGGAATATTGAAAACTACAGTGGTAAGAGCATCTTTCTGACTGCTAATTATGTGTATCAACATTTTGATTGCACCTCAGCTGGAGATTAAATCTTATAATAATTTGATCAAAGGGATTGTAATTTTCCCCAATTCGCTTATGTAACCTATGTTACAATCTGTATACTTGTTATATTGTGAGCGGTATGTGTTGATAAACCAAAAAGATATGTTTTTTGGATATCAACATTTAGAAAAAAGTGTAAGATACCATTCTATATGTTTATCTTAGTGTTTAGCATAGGTAAGAATGGGGGATGGGCTGGCGGGGGTCCGTCTTTGAATAATTCCAAGGGTTCATATATTATCACAATTTTGCTACAAAATCACTTGGAAAGTGCATGATTTGAACGATTATTTGGCCAAGGCGTCCGCTATTAACATGAGTATGAATTTTATAAAAAAATTACTTGAATCAAAATCGAAGAATTCCTTGCCCCGTGTGTTCACCATTCACCCCGGGGGTTCACACTCGGCTCAGGTGGGGTACCTTTTTTACATTTGGTATGTCAAGCCAATGGACCCACATTTTAAGACAGATTTTTCCATTTTCTGGTATAAGAATCGGTGTGGAAAATATGTTACCCCTCAATTGTGGTACGGTATTGGTCCCGGGGCATTGGTCTAGTTGTTACACATATCCTTCATTTGAGGTTGTTTATGATCATTTTACTCAAAGATCTGCCTTCTTCTCGGGGCATTCGATATTTCGAATGGCCTTGGTCTTATATTCTGGATATTTGGTACCCGGGGGTATGGCATTGGTTCTATATTTGGATGTTTGACATGGCATTGGTCTTGTGTTTGGACATTTGATATGGCTTTTTGGGGTTTATTTTAGTTTATATGAGAACACATTTAATGCCACCCCCCCCCCCAAATTACAAATCTACATCTATTCTCTCTATCCCAAAGGTGGATCGGAAGCATGAAAAACAGATGCAGACTTGGGACAGTTGCAAGGGGGGCTATAATGGAGAAATTCGTTTTGATTTTGAGTCTAACTGAAATATTTTGTCACAAATATTAATTAAATACGCAAATAGCCTGTTTTATTAAATGAGACTAGGGCAAAAAATCTATTCATTAAATCTAAAGCCTAGACGATATTTTCTGTAATCAAGGTGGTTTTGGTACACTTCCGCAATTATAAAAACAAAAACATAGACTAAGTTATTAATCTTTTGTTATCATATCAGATTAAGTCAGTTTTGTCTCCGATTGTTATGCAGGTGTGTGTATCGACTCCAGTGAACAACATTAAGTGAATCAATCCTTGAAATTCCCAAATTCATTCCAAATTCTGGCCGTTAACCCCCCCCCCTCCCCCATGTCTCTTAATTACATTTATTTTGCAAATGATATATAAATTATAGATTAAAATATTTCATTTTCGAATTGCACAAAGGGCAACATGTGAAGATAAAACCGCGATCCTAAAGCTACTTGCGAAACAAAGTGGTTTATGGTCCCCAATATCATTATTATATTAATACCAATACAATGTACCTCTATGAATATCATAAATTCACTCCTTTTTAATATCAATAGTCAAACAAATTAAGTAGTATGCTACAGTTGGTTATCAATCGGAGTTTACGACCTATTGATTACTCTTTAATACAAAATTTAACCATTTTAGAATGGGTAACTCACACCCCCCCCCGTCCATGTCCACGAAGTGCGTAGACTGACATAATAGTGTCATTTATTAATTAAACATCACTGATTTATGTTGAGACATTCAGTGCGATTATTTCATTTCTTTGTTCAAAAAGTTAAAGCACCAATTAAATACATATTTTTATCACACAAAAGGGGCAGAATACTTGACCTTGTATCAATTTATATCCCGATAATTCTTTACAAGGGAATGTTTCTTATTAAAACATAAGCAGCGCCTAGGCGTCGATTGGGGGGGGGGGGGGGGTCAATCCGGTGTTCTCAGGCTATGTACAGCCAAGTATCCTGTTTATGTAAAAACCCTACGTTCCCGAATCACAATCAGACAATTAATTAGTATATTTGCTGTGTCTAGCAATTGATCATAGAATTAGATGTTGCGAAAACTATGGGAACTTGTACCTGTCTGTTTATGGATAGGCTGGGAAAGAACAGCAGAGAGAATGGTACATTCGATTGAATATGCTTGTTTTGCCCAATTGTGTATTAAAATGCCCCTCATTTATCATATATTACAAGTTAAGTCGGCGATAATTTGTATTGACTTAACTTGAAACAAATTACTCCGAAATCCAAATACTCATCGAAAAGTAAGGTTATCTTTATATTAAGCTAATACAAAATAAATATATAAATAGGCCTGATGTATCAGTGTTTTCAAAGTTTATTGCACGTTTTATCCTTGAAACGCCTTTCTTTTTCTTATCATGATATGTATTTCCCGGGGTATTTCCTTCAGTTAGGATCAATGCGTCGATTAGCATTGCCTGTAACTGATTTATATTTTCAAAAGGCGCCATGAAATTGCCAAAATGTTTAAATAAGTCAATGTGTCAGCGTACATACAAAATAGTCTGTTTAATATTTGCTACATGTACTTGTTCCAAACAGTCTGCGAAAGAATGATTAAAAATATATCAATTAAAAGTATCAGAGAAAATACTTGCAATCGTTAAAATACTGTATGTATTGCTATTGGTAATTAGGTTAGTTGTTTACACATAATTATGTTGTTCAGTGTGCCAAGAGCGTGTCAAGAGATTCCATTAATTGTCACAGGGCGTGTAAAGACTTTTTGACATGGTCTTTACACGTCTTTGCACTGCGTGTGCCAAGAAGTGCAAAGAGGTGTAAAGAGTTGAATTCATCGCGTGTCAAGAGGTGTAAATAATTGGCACGTCTAGAAACCCGGCGTGTAAAGACCAGTTTCTAGACGTGTCAAGAGTTGGAATCCCATATTTCACGCAGTGGTAATACCTCGCATTGTAATTATTTCAATAAATAGTTAATACACCAATTAATAAATTTAATGTGATATTCGATCCACCTTTGGGAATATATTGTATTTATTTCGAGTCGTTTCCAGCTTGATCGGACACCGCTTATGTGGGCCGCTGCAAAAGGTCACAATGAGATTGTGTCGATTCTTCTTGCTGCAGGCGCTGACATGGAGGCCGAGGACAAAGTATGTATATATTCAGATCTGAGGCCCAGGAATACGTTAAAATGTTTAAAAAGTCCCCTAGAGTTGGTAATGCGTGGTGTATACAATACATGTATATAAATACTATATTACTTACATTGAATAAGAATAATACTGATTTTTTATTAATGATTGTATACCCGGGCCTCAGGTTCAGATGTTTATATTGCAATAACGTCATTGAAAATTTCCACTTTATGGCAGCTTATATTTCCTGTTTGTAGCTCTCAGCTTTCATCAATACATATCAGACTGCATTCTGGTTTCCCTTTTGGCATAAGATCTATTGGTATGGTTTATGAGACTGTGTATTCTATCAGTACACACAGGATGCACATATTGCCAATCATGTTTACTCGTAATGTGCTCACTCTCATTTGATCTACGGTAACCGTACGGCGACCGTAGCTCAAGAGAAATAAGCAGCATATATAGTGATAAGCAATACTATGTAGATTTTCTAAATCGATTTCGTGAAGCTACGGCCGACATACGGCCGCCGTAGAGCAAATGTGACGGAGACTTAACGCTATTCGTTTTTATGCTCTTGTAGTACGCCATGCGTCCTATGCTATGGGCAGCTTGGTTTGGTCATAAAGACACCGTCAGATTGTTTATAAACGCAGGTGCGGACGCCAACGGTTACAACAAGGTAGGTTTACCGTTTATCCTTATCAAATAATACATCAAATTCATGTTGAACATTGTTATCAATAAATCCAACAACTACGACAAAACCATCAATTTTGACGAATATTATGATCATCAAACTTTAAAATGTTACTGTGCCAATTTGAAAAGACATGATGCACCATGTACACGTAGTAGAACTGATTTCACCGTTCTTTGTTCCATAGCTTGGCTTGAATGTAATACACTGCGCAGCCAGTGGAAACAATGTGGAACTCATGGAACTTCTACATGAACAGCTCGAGTCATTTGATATCAACAAGGTGGAAAAGGTAAACATTCAACAATATGAACTTATGAAAACATCAAAAGATGGCATAAATTCAGAGTTATTTCGTTTACATTTTCACAAAGACCTGTACATTTGCAGCGAAAATTACATAGACGACCTGTGTCTCTAAACTAAATTGTCCTAAATGTTTTTATGCAACATAAAACGTTTGTGGGACGACCGTATCGTTGTCCTATAACATCTGATTAATATTAAATATGTAAAGGGTTGGTCGTGGTTGTCTGACCATGTGGACATCGGTAGCGCAGATGAGTTTCAGTTCAACTTCAATCCAGCGTGTTGCGTGTCGCTTTTATTTGAAGTAATCCTCAAATATTATTTGTATTATTATCAATATACTATTATATTATACTATACTATTATACTATTTGGCTAAAAATAATCATAAGATAAAAATTGGTATGAGCTTGATTGATGTCAAGTGTTTTAAGTTTTACTTGAGCAATATAGTCCATGGTATGGAATCTCCAGGACGTCTAATAAAGGAGCTGGTAGCACACTATAGTGGAGCGATATTTGACCTAATATTAACATACCTACAAATGTTCCCTAATAATTTTCATTATAATGTTTAATATACTTCCGGCTTTTAGGCTGAATTATGCCTGTCATTAGCAGAGGTAAAAAAAATTACCAAAAACTTTTTTCACAATTTGGAGTACACAATGCGACAGAAATAATATCAAATGATTTTGAATATATGATTTAGGTTTCTAAGCTATAAGATTGAGGTTATTTTCTCACCGATTCAAAAAAATATGTAATCAATACATAGGCGTTTTGTATTGTTTCTCACACATTAATAAGATATATGGTACAAATGAATAACCTTTATATTAGAATGACAAATGCTTAAATTATGCTAGTTTTCACAAAATGCGTCTCAATATGTATTGATATATTATATTGCATATAACTCTTATAGATTGTGCGATTGTTAGACATGCCCTTGGAATATATGAACATTCCAATACCTCTGTAACATTGGATTCGATATAAATCTTAAACCTATTTGTAATTGTCTTGTCTTTCATAAAACATGAACAATAATTTGTTGTTTGACTCCCGCGATAATATGGATAAATTCTGGTAATAAAATGTTTTAAATGATAAGAAAACTAATTGTTCGCAATCATAAATTACCCAAATATTCAACACAATTTTGTTCAATCTGCTTGGCTTGTATCTGATAAATCAAACTAAATCTGAAAAGCACATTTGTTTAATAACACTAATTAAACACCGACATTTAAAGTAAAATTATGGTAAATTTTTACATTATGATAATCTATTTCATTATCCGTATGCTTAGAATAACGGTCTCTGTCTTATAAAATGTATAAAACTTCGAATCAAAATATTTACATTTTTTGACCTCTTGTGATGAAAGACATTTTCATCCCGAAAGTCGGAAGATTTTTCAGTAAGGTATTTAATAAATTTCAAAACATATGCACCTCCTTAAATATTTCTTCATGCATTGCTGCGCTATATTGTGCTACGGATCCTTCATATTTGGAAGTCATACCATGGCCTAATATATAATACCCGGTGGATTTATACCTACAATAACTCCACTGGCATGTAGCGATTATAGCGATACTGGATACTTTACTGAATTGTGTCGAAGTTAGACGTGTGGTGCGGAAGTTAATATGCAGATGACCATTATTTCAATGTTATATTGTTTGTAGGCAAATTGAGATTAGGCCATTGGAGTATTTGTTTCACGCATACATAAAGCATAACGCATTCAAGGGTCACATTTATCATTAAACCAATAACTCAAACATATGACCTTGTACACCGACCACCTCTTGAAATCAATGCAGGCCGATTTCAACGAATGCAAACGGTGATATATAAAAGAAACATAATCAAGCATGACCACGTCCCAACTTCTTTTGTTTTCTTTACAACTAAGCTATGACTGCAGTCTATTCAGTGTTGCGTATCGAACCTTGTTTATTATAAAAATAGTGCAACAACAAGCAGAATTCACACATTTACCTTATACTTATTCTCAACTGAAGACATTGAATTTATCTCTTTAGGTTTTACATTATAAATATCTTAACATGCAGAATACGAAAATAGAGGCTTAGGCCCAACTTTGTATGGATTTTATGAAAATAATCTGATTTTAGAGAAATGAAAAGAAAAATGTCCACACCCTACACAAAATATTTATGGTTCCCCGGGAATACGTATGCTGTGTTGCTTTATATTAGAATCGTATTCCAGTTACAGAAAGAAGTACATATCATGCTAAACTATATACATATATCTATCGTCTATTATCCTTTGACAAGTAGAGTGGAGAATAAAAATGAAAAAATTTAAAAATTTAAAAAAGGAAATAAGATTAATTTTTTAGAAAACTACTTGGTATATGATAAAGCAGATATGCGCGGTCGGTTTGGATATGGGGTTTATCCCTCGTGAGATATGCACGTCTACCTTCGGTCCCTATGGTCCATCAGGTAGATATAGAGATTATCCTATATGAGGTTCAGGATATTGGGATTACCCCGAGGCAAATATAATATATCTGTCCGAGGGCCGCAGGTCCCGAGGGAAAATATATTTTATTCCATAATACTACTGTTTTTCCAGGGAAATATGAAGGAATTAAAATCGTATTGAATCGTATTACATGAAAAAATCGTATTGTCCCCGTGAAAAATCGTATTGGAGCGTATTGACCTATTTTTTAGTTTCCCGGTTTATTTTATTTATTTATTTTATTTTTCAAACAATGTGCATTTATTAATATAACGTTTGCATTATCCAAATGTAACATTCTAGAGGGATGTATTATGGAATAAATAGGTTATTTCTGGTCAGGATTCAATATGGGTTTCAGGCCCGTAGCCAGAATTTTCCAAGGGGGGGTTCGTTTTTCTAAAAAATTCTAGGGGGGGTTCACTTTGGCAAATATGGCCAAAAACCACTCAAAAATTAGTCAGAATGGTGAAAAACTGCATGATTTTGAAAGAAATTTTGGCCAGGGGGGGGTTCGTCCGAACCCCCCGAACCCCCCCTGGCTACGGGCCTGGGTTTTATTCCTCGGAAAGTATGATATTGACTTTGGGCAATATGATATTGACACTCGGTCGCTGCGCTCTCGGTCAATATTATATTACCCTTCAGTCAATATCATATTGTCCCTCGGAATAAAACCCATATTCAATCCCTCCCAGTAAATAACCTATATGTATTCCATACCTGATGAGGTTTCAGGGGCATATCAACCGGGAATATATTCCATATCCGGCAAATATTTTTCGTATGTCCCGCTCCGACGGAGCTCCGGGACATATAAATCGTATGTCCCGCTCAAAAAAATGTTAGAAATAAATTAGGGAAAAAAAATTGAAAAAAAATTTGAAAAAAAAGTTTTAAAAATATTCTGAAAAAAAAATTATGCCAAAAAAAGGTGAAAAAATTTGAAAAAAATTTGGGAAAAAAATTTGAATTGGATTTTTTTTAGGATTTACAATACATCTTCCCTTGGTCCATTCGGTCCCTCGGGAAAATGTATTGTATATCCCTCGGATATTCCCTGTATTCAAAACATCCCAGTGCATAACCCTTATGTATTTCATACTTTAGTGGGTTTGGGGTAGATATCACCCGGGGATATATATTATATCTGAGGAGCGGGCAGGATATATTGTATATGTCCCGCTCTAGGCCAAATGCGGGCAGATATAATATATCCATCCCACTCCCGGGAATTTTTTCAAAAGTTTAAAAACTTGAAAAATTTAAATTTCAGAAGTTTAAAAATTTTCAAAAAGTTTAAATGTTACAATTCTATTTTATTGAACTGAAGGAATATTATGAAAATGTTAAATATGAATTGTGCTTTTACAGTATAGGCCTATCTTGTCATTTGAAAAAGGTGGTAAAGGTTATATCTACCCCAAGCCCACTCAAGTATGAGATACACCAGTTATGTACGGTCGATTTTGGATACAGTGTTTATCCCGCGGGAAATATGTGTATCTCCCTCGGTCCCTGCGGTCCCTCATGAGATACACATATTTCCCTTGGGATAAACCCTGTATCCAAAACATATATTAAAAAACATTGCTACCAAAAGTGGCACATAATGTATAAGCCGCCATAAGCAGCACCTTAGGAAAGTTGCTACCATAAGCAGCGCACCTATTTTACAAGCCGCCATAAGCAGCACATATTTTAAGATTGCCGCCATAAGCAGCACATATCACAATTACTGCTGCTATAAGCAGCACATATTTTAAATTTGCCGCCATAAGCAGCATATATCACAATTACTGCTGCCATAAGCAGCACATGTTGTAATTTTGCCGCCATAAGCAGCACACATCACAATTAATGCTGCCATAAGCAGATATATCATAAGAAAAGGCCAGCATATGTGGCATGTTGTTACCATCATAAAGCTTCAACCATAAGCAAAACACCCTGAGGTACTCACTGTTTCTAATTGCGATGAGTTCCCTTTTGATATTGTTGGCAAAACATCTATTGCCCTCGTCTGTTAAGTGAATGCCCTTGTTATCAAACTTCAACGATACATTGTTCATGAAGCCAAAATTACGGCATATCAATATCTTCTTATGAGATCCTTGTAAGTCGGAAATTCTTGAATTAAGGGCCAAGCGTGCTCTTTCATAATCGTCGAAACCAATGCGTGGTTTTAATCTCTTAAATACGTGACCAACGCAAACGACCTTTACATTGTCATATCCTTCTGCAATAAATTCGGCGAAACTTTTGATTGCCGTGAATATTTTTTCAATGTTAAAGTTGGGATTATCCAAGTCATTTCCACCTAATTGCAAGTAAACTATACGAGGGTCCGATTTTACCATCATATCTGTTAAATAGGCGACTAAACTTTTCCTCTGAAATCTGGATCGTGATTTAGGAGACCACTCAAATGTTCCACCTCTAATACCACGAAAAATCAAGTCAAATTGGGTTAAAGATAGTCCCAGATTGTTTTTACATTTCATTTGATAAATGTTCAACCAGTGTATTAATGAGTGTCCAAATATCAAAACGGGTATTTTACTCATGGTTGTATTTGTACATATATACTATTATATACGTAATCAAAGTTATTAAATCACTTCACTCACCGAATGACGGTAGACGTAGTCCAAATCCTTACGGTTATCCCGAAGTGTCCAAATGTAGGGCGAACAATATATATTGTTAACAGTTCCACAACATATATAAAATGTATTTATATATGTAATATTTCCAAATATAGCAATATAAACTGATAAAGTGTGAATACTAGTATAGTATTAATAATATTATTTCATAAACTTGTATTAACACAGAAAATATATTTGAAGTGTTCTTCTGCTGTGTACGTCTCTGCTTTAAGAAATAAAGAATGTGAACCACTCACATTCCCAAGCTCCGCCCACTAATTATAATAATGACTGTGATAATAGACAAGACGCTATGTTCATAAAAACACTTATTTGGAATAAGTGAATATTTATTCCATAGTTAGCATAATATTCATAGGATAACATGTGAAAATAAAAACGGTATTTTTGTAATCAGTGGTAAAATATGATATTTTTGACATATTTTCACTTAACCATAGCATACGGTTTTTTAGTCATGACATTCGGCGTCGTATGCGATGGTTTATGGATTTTTGCTACTTCAGACTCAAAACGAGGCCAAGTGTCAACATCGCCGGATCGTTTGGAAAATTCGATTTAAATCACTTAATTTCCGACGATTCTGACGATGACTTTAACTATGGAATAAAAAGAACATCCCATGATTTACTCGTGATATGATTTTAATCCACTCATGGATATTGATATCTGCACTCTCTCGCTACGCTCGCTCGTGCAGATATCATATGCATTCGTGGATAAAAATCATATCTCTCATAAATCATAGGATATCCTCTATATCCCATGGTTGCAATGATATAGATCGAATATCACATGATGATATATTTGATATGTGGACCAAGATATCATATTTCAGCAAATGATTTACAAACCATCGAATATCACTTTTAAACTATCGAATATTACGTCTTAAAAAGTGATATTCGATGGTTTCGAATTTTTTCAAAAAATGAATTTTGAATATTTGGTGACGTAAATCAAGATAATTTCTGCTCGCATCTTGTCTATTCCACAGGTTTGGGAAAGTGTACAGGAAATCGAATGTATTCTCGTGTGCATTACAATATCCACATTGAAACATTTTTGGCCTGCAATGGACGTATAATGGATTAGAATATGAGGCCGTGTTATCATTCAAATGTAAAGTCATGGTATTGGGTTGCAAGTTAATATCAGATTCAATGCAAATTAATCATTTAATATCAGATGCGCGATCAGTCGAATAATGTAATTTCAGGTCATCAGTTTGATATCTAGCAGTTGTTCTAACGACACGGTATTACTAGGCTATCATGTTATAAATACACACACATATAAATAAATCAAACTGGTACACGATATAAGCACGACTGCTCTTTCAATTGAGTATAAATGTTGATAAACTTACCCGGAAGCCAACACATACACGTTTAGACGATGCTATTTTCAGTTCAGTGTAAGAGTAAATGCCCGGATATCGAAGCTTTTTCGTGTAAAGTTTTAACCAAGCATGTAGTCTCGGGTTATATTGCGTGTAGAATTTATCGATATCAGGGCCGCTACATGCCAGTGAACTCTTACATTTGATAATGATGGACATCTATATGAATAAATAGTTTCCCATGACTACCACTCTTTTTAATAGATGTCAGTTACAGTAGTCGACCTTGGCTCGTAGTATAGAGTAAATTAGGCAATCCTGATTCTTTGAGATGTCATAGACTAATTTGGATGAGTGGCGGAGCAGGTCTTTTTTACAATTTCACACAATTGATTTTAAAAACTGAAAGGCTGCTTATTCGCAAAGAAAATGAACCGGCACATGCGATGACAATGTCAATCGCTTTATCAAAATAAATATAATGGAAAAACGACAATTTCGAGTGTAAGACGTTCGCGCTTTTCAGTAACTTCGTATTGACTCCCAGTAGGCTTCGGGCGAATTTCGTGCAGAAGCACGATTGACTATGGCATTGCAGGAGCTGGTTCATTTTCTCTGCATGAGAAATGAGCAGCTTTTCAGTTGATTAGTAGATTGTGTGGAAATAATGGAATTCTTGTTCTTGACCTACTACGCCAGGTCTGACAATTTAATATAGCACAATGAATATTATTTACGAATTAATTCTACGTGTGCATGGTATACATATCATGTACTCCAGTCTAGAACTGAATGAAAACGACATTATATAAATCTTCATCCGATATAATTCTTATTTTAGAATGAAATGACGTGTTTACATTTAGCAGCGGCAAATGGTCACGTTGAAATGATTGAAAAACTAATTGAGCTTAGAGTAGACGTGGAAGCGAAAGATAAGGTAAGGTAGTTTAAATTCAAAAAGTGAATTATTGTAAAGATTTCTAACTTTATCCTCCAATGTCCTTATTAGAAAATCTTGTTTACTGGCGTTTCCTCCACTTGAAACTAGCATTTTGTTTCGATTTCATTTGAACGTGTTTCAAATGCCCAACGTACACATTTGAACCTTTTTTGTGTAACATCGAAAATATGATAGACAAATCCATAAAACACTTATCACCACTGCGGTAAGATAATTAAACCTTATTTAGACATTTAAAACAGTACCAATACGATCTACTATATATCAGTTCATTTCTAAAATAACGTACAACACGTCTCTTAGTCTACTCCAATTTCTAAAGTAATTAAAACTACCCTGAAGACCTGACGAATGCCTGGAACAAACACGTGCAATTTCCCTTGTGAAATTATATTAGTCAAATATACATGTAGATATAACAGATATCAGATATACTAGCAATTGATATATACTATATTTAGTCAAATTGTCAATATAAATTGCTATCCGATCTCACATGATGATTGATTGATATGATATGATATGACTAGAATAGTTTTTCTCGTTGTAAAGTTACACGAACGGAATTAAATAGTTTGGAAAAGACCGGTTGCACACTGACAGATCACTGAGACACTGACAACTTGTATGGTATTACATTTAAACTATCCCAATTAAAGTTAAATTTTGAAGATTTTAACCAAGAACGTAGAAATTGAATCATTTCTCGAATCGCTGCCAAGATTCTGTAGGTAATGGTAAATATCTTTATAGTACCAAGCATAAGTTTTGATGAAAACTGGTGATCAAAAAACAAATCTAGAGTCAAGTCTGCCAAAAGAATATGTGTATTTGAAACCTACACATAACTGAGCTCATATAGTACAGAAGTCGCACGAGAGTCAATTTTAACTTTGAAGGTGTACATTTAAAAGTTGTTATTTTCATATTTTATTGAAAAAAATTCCAGCATGGTCATCTTTTTCTCAATGAACGTTTATAAGCTTGCAGCGATTGAAAATGATTTATTCTATCTATTACAATTTGTCAATTTCGAGGTTCTATAATACTCATCAGCTGACTTTTTAGAAAGGTAAATGATAGGTTTATAAACATACATGTACATGGAAATAAAACAGTCAAGACATGCCACCCACTTGCTGCTGATGTACTCTTTCAGTTGGGGCAAACTGCCCTTCATACCGCAGCAAAGGTCGGTGCAGTGGCTGCTATTGAGGAACTCCTAAAGACATCCATTAAGAAAGATGAGCCTGATTTGGTAACCGAAATTACCCTTATCATTTGCTTTTTCATTTAAAGGTCTATTATATTTAACTTTAAGGAATTCGGTATCTTACAAAATAAAAATAATTTTAAGAATTCATCAAGAACATTGACATTATATTCAAGGCATCAATATGATGAATTTGATCTGCATTGACTGATTAATAGCTCATATTATTTCTTTCTAGGAAGGAAAGACTGCATTGCACCTCGCGGCAGAATGTGGCGACTCACACGCTGTTGACGTACTCCTTGCTTCAAAGTTAAACCCAAATTGCATAACATCTGTAAGCCATTTATTCCTAATATCTTGTTTATTCATCTCATATTTAAAAAGAATCTATGTCAAATTGAAAATTGTTTATATGGCGTGCACGGACCTGGGGACAATTCGGGAAATGCGGGCTTATCTCAGCTTTGAACGTTAATCTCTGCCTTATTTAAAAAGCCAACTATGTGTTTTACATATCATTTTGAAGTATTTTTTATTCGCATTTCAATGAAATTATTTTTCCTGCAAAATTTTGATGGGATCCAACACATTTTTAAAGTTAAATATACTCCGACATCGTCAAATACGCTGTAAGACGTAACACTTTACGCTTACAGTGCTCGTTGAAATTGAGATAACTTTTGAAATAATGATCAAAATCCCACTTAAATTTTACAATTTATTCAATGGAACATTTGCATTTATGACGTCACAATTGCTTAACGGCTACATTCCAAATTATCTTATACGAACGCTTTTAAAATTTTCAAAATTGTGTAAGGTTTTGAAGGCGAATGGGACGAGCAATAAGTTTACCTTCATTTAACCTTCTAATTTAGGTCTGATTTGAAAGAAAATTTAACTGCACAATATTGTCATGGAGAAATTTACAAAACAATAACCGGTTTGTTTATTTTGCAAATAATATCAAAATAAGAGCTGGTTTTCGAGACTTGAAAAAATGTGACGCATCGATTTTTTACCACATATTCCATACATATCAATTTTTACTAACGCCCCAAGTGGATTTCTTGACCGTTTTTCAAAATTCAAAAACATTTTAGAAATATTGTCCTCGAGATCTTTCTACCCTGTAAATTTTGTAATGATTAGATAAGGATAAAGTATTTTATTTTTAGGTTGACTAAACTTGTAAAAAATGTGACGCTTGTCGTTTTTGACGTTGTAAGGCTGTTTGCGCCCTATACTGCTCATTGTTTTTTTTTTTTTTTTTGACGCCATAATGTTACGCTAATTGTCCCCAGTTTCGTGCGACGTGTATTAATCCTTTACTAATTGATCATGAATAATTAAGCTTTTAACAAGATCAACCAGATTTTCAAAAATCATAATAGACTAGTTAACGTTAACGTTATTGACCGATGTGTGCCGCACACATTCCCCCCCCTGTAAAAAGTATGGGTATTCATAGCGATTTAAACAAAATGGCTGCAATGTTTCTCCAGCATTTTTACAAGAAGTCTTCAAAGTAATGCAGCAACTCAATGTAAAATATTGGTAGAGATGGGACATATGACGTGTTTCACGAAGTTTGTACTTTTAGAATGTAGAATCTCCAAAATGTAATGTAATCTTGCTTTCATAGAAAATGATGACCCCACTCCACTTGGCAGCCATGAAGGGCCATACTGATGTTTGCGCAGCTCTTCTCAAGCGTGGTGCTGATGCAGATGCCAAAAACTATGTAAGTATATAATGTAAAAATTTGAAAAACAAAAACAAAAAAGGTTCATATACTCAAGGGGCGAGGAGGAAAATTCTCAATAAATGGTGTATAGTTGGTTTGGCAGCATTTTTAGTTAGGGGAGAGTCTTGGATGAAACTTCCACCTAGGTGATAGCTTTACAGAGTGGTAGGAAGTTCTTATTTTTGAAGAGTTAGCCCCCCACCCCCCAAAAACACCCCACCCGGGGGAAAAAATGGTTCACACTAAATAACCTTAGATATTTTGATGTTTGTAAGTGACATACATAGATATTATATATATGATTCATTTGCAGTATAATTGATGCTGATTGCTCCTAAGGAAATTGAATATTAGTACAAAGTGTGTACCCCAGGGGGCAAATTCGTGACTCATTTTCTTACTATTTTGATCCTAACTTTTCAATTAGACACTGTACGAGGTTGAAAAAATTCATGGGAAGTGCCCAATAGCAGGGTTAGTAAGCCTGAAAGATGCAAAGCCATTGATAAGGTAGGAGCTGAGAAAAAAATTGTTGATTTTTCGAAAAATTTGACATTTTTGACAGTTGGATTTTGTGTATGACTATAGCTGACCCCTATAGTTTCTAGATCCATCCCTCTATAATGATATTTATGGTTTTATAGTGTGAAACTAAGATGTAAAACATAATTTAGATGGGTTTTAAGGAAGTTGAAGGTTTTAAACAAGTCCAAAATTTGAAAAATTGTAAATATAAGGTTTCAAATTTACATATACCAGGTATAGCCATGGCTGACCCCTATAGTTTCTAGATCCATCCCTCTATGATGATATTTATGGTTTTGCCATGTGGAACTAATATGTAAAACACAATTTAGATGGGTTTTAAGAAAGTTTAAGGTTTTAAACAATACAAAATTTGAAAAATTGTGAATATAAGGTTTTAAATTTACGAATTTCAGGTATAGCCACGGCTGACCCTTATGGTTTTTACATCCATACCTCTATGATTAAATATACAGTTTTAGAGTGCGGGACTAAGATTTAACATATCCAAAATGAATTTTAAGGAAGTTTTAGGTTTTAAACAAGTCCGTAATTTGAAGAATTGTAAATGTTAGGTTTCAATTTTATGAATTTCAGGTATAGCCAAAGATGACCCTTATGGTTTTTACATCTATACCTCAGGGATGAAATATATAGTTTTAAGAGTATTTAACTAAAATGTAAAAGATACCTAAGATGAGTTTGAAGGAAGTTCAAAGTTTTAAACAAGTGCAGAATTTGAAAAATTGATCTCAAAATTGGTCTCAAATTCATGTTATTCAGGTACAGCCTTGAATGAGCCCTGATAATTGAAGGTTATGAGCATAATAGTTTCAACTATGACATCATAGCTTAGAGACCAGGTGTAGAATATATACCTGTTGCAGCAGTTAGTCTGCTGCATATAGATGGAGTGAAAAGTCGTGAACTACAGTAAAATCTCTCTAATCTGAATGCTACTGGTATTTGGACCAGCTAAAAGCATTCTAATTAGGAGTTTTGAGGTTTTTCCATCTACAATACAAGTTCTGGATTTTGAAGAAATATGAATGCATTCTCAATGAAAAATATTAATAATATTTATACTGACCACATAAAAAGCATTCCAAAATCCAATTCAAAAGTTTTGATATCATAACAATTCAGTGTGAAACTGACAATATTTGAGCAATTTTGTAAGAAATATGTGATATTTGGTAAAAAGAGTTCAAGTTAGACAGGTTAATTTTTCAAATATGAGTGTTCACTGTTCGAAGTAAGGGGTATTCAGATTTCAAGTTTTTTTTTAACATAGGAGTCAATGGGAGGAAAAATTGGACTTGGAAAAGTGTTCAGATTGGTTGGTGTTCAGATTAGTCAGGTGTTGGGATGATTGGTAGGTATTCACAATAGTCAGATGTTGGGATATACAGGTTTCACTGATGATATATCATTTATACAAGATGATGAACTAGAACTACTGTACTAGGTGCATTTGATAATTTTTACCACAATGTTAATACTATGTCAGGAAAAGAAAGCACCCATGACACTTTGCTTGTATAACTTGAAAATCAACAACACTTTAAGATTTGATAAAGGTGTCTACCAAATGAGTAATCCACATTAATTCAAATACAAGCACTTGGCATGCTATTCCCTATGATGCTATTTATAGATTTTTAGTCAATGTTATTGATCAGCTTATTGGTTTCATTACTTTCTCTAGAATCTAAAATTGACCTTGGGTTTATGAGAGTAGTAAATTGGAATGCAGTTATATGGAGTATTGAATTGGCTGGAATTGGACACACGTTGACTAGCTATGTGTGAGTAAACTATGATCTTATATGGATACAAACAGTTCGTTTGACAATGATCATCTATCTTATCTGTAAAATCAGAACTTAAAAAGGGGTTTGAAATGGAAATCGATGAAACCATACCACAAATTGATAAAACTTTCATGATCGATGCAATGGCTATGACAAAAGGAAAATTAAGATTAACTTATATGTTGAAATTTGGAGAGTTTTCGAAAGCTATATTTGACTACTCCATCAAATCTAGTAAAGGAGCCCAAAGAATAGATTTCATATTAGACTCCTAGTAGTCTCCATCAGTAAAGGATTCTGAAAGAATGCGAAGAATGTATGCTTCCCCTACTGAACTTTAATCCAAAGAAGAAATTACACCATTACCTAAAAACATGAATACCTTTTGGCCAAGTCATATTATACAAATTTTCAAAGATTACAAAGAAATTTAATAAAGCAGCATTCTAAAAGTGTGCCAAATGTCAAGATTGTTAAAAGTGGAACTATTGGAAAGAACTCAAATATCTGTGAAAATGATAACTGAAATCCCCTGTTAAATTCCACTCTTGAAGAGGCTGATTTTAAACTTATTCACTCTGTTTTACATATAGCAGGAGAACATGTGGGACTTCAGTAATTTGCATCAAATGACACTGATTTTCTAATTTTATGACTATCATTTCAATAAATGTAAAAAATTCTTCAACTGCTAGAAAATGTCATCTGCAAAGTCAGTATGTAAACATTTTCTACAATGTCTGTTTGTTTGAAACATATTGATCATATATATCATCATATATACTTTTTTGATCTACATGAAGATTTTAGTGTGACAAGACCCTTTTATCCTGGAGTTCCTAATCTCATTGCACTAACGGGAGTTTCTAGGCCCAGCAGGGTATGATCCTTATAATCCTTATTTTCCCAAATAATTACTGTTGCCTGATGACAAGTTGTTTTATTGGGAGTGTAGTGATTATAATTTGATAATTTATAATAATATTTTGTATTAGGAGATGATCATTGCTTAATTACTGTATGGGCATAATAAAATAGAGAGAAATCATGTTTCTTTTAATTAACCATGTCTTTATGTATTTTGACAATGTAGAACATTACATCGAACATGTTGATGTGAAAAAGTAAAAATGCTATATCACATAATAAATATCATCAAATAATAATTAATTAGTTATAATCCATTTAATCAATCAATTACTACACTGTATACGATATCCCTAAGAGCAGTTACACTTTAGGGGGGGGGGGGATTTATTAACCTCTCACCCCCTTAGGAACTCTAGGGTAAGGTCCTCAACTCTAATGATCTTTCTTTTAACAATACTTGTAACATGGATCAAACCTGACCACAATATTTTCAACATCTAATTTCTAAGCTAAAAAAGTCATACATTCAAAAAGAGAGACAGCCAAGGCAATACCTGAAATCGTAAAGGAGGACTGAAAGTATCGCAACAGATTTAGGACAGTTACATGTTTGATTTTTGCTATTTTCTGGGGATTTGAGGAGGTGCATATGTTAGGCAAATGCATTACCTCCAGGAAAAGCACTCAAAGAGATGATAAAATAATTTCTATTTGAGACAGGGTGCAAACAACCCACCCACATGCATCAATATGTTGTGTTTTGACACACAGTTAACCCCTTTAAAGAAATAATGCATTCCATCAGGGGTTTAAAAGATATCAAATATGGGTGACCAAAATTAAGCTGAAAGTAATGGAGCACATGAGTTTTCCCTTTGGGAAAATAACAGGAAAATATTGTTTTCTGCTTTATCTAAAAGGAATTTATTATTCCTTTTTATGGGTTAACTATGTCTCAAAACGCAACATATTGATGCAACAAAAATTGAAAAAGCAGGGGTAAAGGGCTTGAAAATCAGGACAACATTTCCGAAAAAACATGTGGGTGGATTGTTTGCACCTTCGCTGTCTCAAAGTCCAAACTATTTTATCATCTCTAAGAGTTCTTTTCCCGTAGGTAATGCAATGGCCTATCATATGCACCTGCTTAAATCCTCAGGAAACAGACAAAATCTAACATATGACTGTCTGAAATATGTTGCGATACTTTCCGTGCTCCTTTGAGACCTGATATTTCTCAATTTTTCAAACATTGCACTACTTGTTAAAATTCTTAAACTTCCTTAAAATTCATCTTCGGTATGTTTTACTTCTTAGTTTCACACTCTAAAAATATATGTTTCATCATAGAGGTATGGATGATTTTGGACTTGTTTAAAATCTTTAACTTCCTTAAAACCCATCTAAATTATGTTCTACATCTTTAGTTCCATACTTCAAAACCATAAATCTCCAAAGAGGGATGGATTTAGAAACTATAGGGGTCAGCCATGGCTATACCTGGAATTTGTAAATTTGAAACCTTATATTTACAATTGTTCAAATTTTGGACTTGTTTAAAACCTTTAACTTCCTTAAAACCCATCTAAACTATGTTTTACATCTTAGTTCCACACTATAAAACCATACATATCATCATAGAGGGATGGATCTAGAACCTATAGGGGTCAGCCATGGTTATACCTGGAATTCGTAAATTTAAAACCTTATATTTACAATTTTTCAAATTTTGGACTTGTTTAAAACCTTTAACTTCCTTAAAACCCATCTAAATTATGTTTTACATCTTAGTTCCACACTATAAAACCATAAATATCATCATAGAGGGATGGATCTAGAAACTATAGGGGTCAGCCATGGCTATACCTGTAATTCGTAAATTTGAAACCTTATATTTACAATTTTTCAAATTTTGGACTTGTTTTAAACCTCCAACTTCCTTAAAACCCATCTAAATTATGTTTTACATCTTAGTTCCACACTATAAAACCATAAATATCATTATAGAGGGATGGATCTAGAACCTATAGGGGTCAGCCATGGTTATACCTGGAATTCGTAAATTTGAAACCTTATATTTACATTTTTTCAAATTTTGGACTTGTTTAAAACCTTTAACTTCCTTAAAACCCATCTAAATTATGTTTTACATCTTAGTTCCACACTATAAAACCATAAATATCATTATAGAGGGAAGGATCAAGAAATTATAAGGGTCAGCTATAGTCATACACAAAATCCAGCTGTCAAAAATGTCAAATTTTTCCAAAAATCAACAATTTTTTCTCAGCTCCTACCTCTTCCATGGCCTTGCACCTTTCAGGGTTACTAACCCTGCTATTGGGCACTTTACATGAATTTTTCCAACCTCTTACAGTGTCTAATTGAAAAGTTAGAATCAAAATAGTAAGAAAATGAGTCACGAATTTGCCCCCTGGGGTACATACTTTGTACTAATTTTCAAATTCTTTAGGAGTAATCAGCATCAATTATACTGCAAGTGATTCATATATATAATATCTATGTATGTCACTTACAAACATCAAAATATCTAAGGTTATTTAGTGTGAACAATTTTTTCCCCCGGGTGGGGTGTTTTTGGGGGGTGGGGGGCTAACTCATCAAAAAAAAGAACTTCCTACCACTCTGTGAAGTTATCACCTAGGTGGAAGTTTCATCCAAGACTCTCCCCTAACTGAAAATGCTGCCAAACCAACTATACACCATTTATTGAGAATTTTCCTCCCCGCCCCTAGAGTAATACTGTACATACGCTTTTGTTTGCTTCATAACTATTTAGGGTAATCCCCGAAACAAAATATTGTCTAAACAGACAGTAACTTGAATATATAATGACATAATTTTTAATGATCAAACCATTAACAGCAGGTCCGAAAAACTAAGTTGTCATAAATGGTGTTCTCGGGATCTTTCGAATGAGGCAATTTTCAAGAGACAACTGCATCAACTCGTAGAACAGAGGAGGTTTGGTTGAGTTTGCCTGATCATGCCTGGTGGCTTAAAACGCAGGAATCGTTTGTCTAATTCATCAAATAAAATAAAAATAGAATCAGTCGGCAAAACCTTTTTATGCATTTGTTCCAGTTTCAATTAAGTTGACCATTTGTTTACTCTGTTATGTTTCAGCAAGGAAACACTGCTTTGCACCTTGCTGTAGTTGCCAACTATCCACTCGTCGTTCAGACCCTCATTGATGGTGGATGCGGGTTAGATCTGCTAAATCACGTAAGTTAATTGATATAACAACACGTTTTAAATCATTGTATGCAGTTTCACATGTTTTGTCCGTACATCTATGTTTTTGCTCAAATGTACAATCCATCGAACTAAGTTTGCAGGTAATTCGAAAACGTATCTTTTTATACAACAGGTTTTGTCATTTTGTAGATCAAACAGCATGTAATAAACTTTACAATAGTTGCAACAAACATTTCCCATTAGGTGTTCTGGTCCTGGCTTGTGATATTGGATCTCGATTGGAGGGGGGAGGAGGGGGGAGGAGGGGGGGGATGTTAGACATTGTTTCTTTTCACGTTAGATCATGGTTTTGGGATATATGGGGTCTACTTTTCTTATGACAGATTTACACTTACAGTTTGCTTTTCTTTTTGGGTTTCCTTAAAGTTTTTAGTCACCCTTCCCTTTTGGCATTTGTGTTTATATATTCATATCAATATACTGTATACTCCCGGTAATTCGCATGCTTCTATATTTTGCACTTTTCGCGAGTTTTGGAAGATTCGCGAAATATAATTGCCACAAAAGCGATCGAAACAACCATCAAATTTTTTTTTTAAAAAGACAATTAAACCACACACAACAATGACAGAAAAATATGAATTAATTTAATTATTGACCATTTGTTACATTAATATACTATCATCTTTATTTTAATGTTAACTTCAGAGACAGCAAACGGCCCTGCATATTGGCACCGAGAGTGGATTGTCTGACATAGTTGATGTTTTGCTTTCCTCAGGTGTTGACCTGTTTATAAAGGACAAGGTAACTGTTTTCATGATTTAAAAGGGCGTGTTATAATTTAATATAGTTTAAACAGTTACAATTGGTTCCCGCTCGTTATGTACCTAAAACCACAGTTAGTATTGAATACACCAATTTATAGTCCATGGTGTGACTCCCGAATATGAATACCATTTGCTGAAAAAACTTCCGGCTTTCGGGTCGAAAAATCTCAAGGGGTCAAAAAACGTAAATATTTTATTTCGAATACATTTTATAAGACACGGAACGTTATTCTAAGCATACGAAGAAAAGAGATTATAATAACCAGCTCCTTTATTAGACGTCCTAGAGATTTCATACCATGGACTATTACACTTATTTGTATTACTGCCAATTCTATACACATACTAGCAAGTCTTCACTTAAAACAATGCCGTATCACTCCGTGTGTGTATTTTTGCAAGTCAGTAGCATTTATCCCTTTGCAGTACAAATCACACTAATTACCATTACTTAAACATGGCTTTTCAGATGTTTTTCAACGAAAACCGAAATAAAGACCATAGGTAATATATCTCTAGTAATGTATCTCTTTTATCCTAGTAAACTATCCCAGCTTTTTAATTTTTTCCTTTCCCTGCTACAAGCAATTTTTATAACAACGAAAGATTTGTTTTCAGACTGGAAAAACAGCACTCTATATTGCAGCCAGAGGGAGCTATATTAAGATAGTTGATATGATAATTAAAGCTGAACGTGGGTTTTCTAAAAAGGTAAATTACATATATACGAGGTCTTTAACTCGTGTTACACAATCAGCATTATTAACTTCCTCCTTAACTCTGTTTGACATTACATATAAGTGGACTACTTTTAGTCAGAATAACCTTAACAATGTTGCACTAGCTTATACTGATAGCATAACGGTATATATCATGAATAATCCTGGTTCATGATCAATAATTCCATCTTATCTTTCCAGAAAAAAGAATTGATACAGAATATTAATAAAGGATTTCCCAGTCAACCATCCACATCTTCGAAAGATAATTCCAGACAAGTAACTCCCAGTATTGATGAATTATGCTCCACGAGTGATACACCCAAATCCTCAAGAAGTTCAGCATTTATCCCTCAACAATCTACGCCAACATTAAAACTTAAAAGAAACGTCAGCTTTGATGATCTTGATAAGGACCCCGATGAAAGAAGCATTGCACTCAGTCGTATCTCGCATAACACGGATGATATTGGCCAGGACAGTGTAGACGAAGCTTCCACAAATGAAAATAAGGACATTCCTGCAAGTTCTGAAAGTGGATCATGCAGTCTATATTACACATCAGACCATAACCCAAATGAAGGAAACAACGGAACAGATAAATCTATAGAGACTAGTGATATCTCAAATGAAAATGATAAATCCAATGATGTAATATGTTCTGAGATTGTGCCTGAGGATACTTTTAAACATGTTAGTGATGAGAGACTGTGTAATAATAACAAATCAGAAGCAGCTGAATCCGTGCTTGGCTGCGATTCTACTGAACCGACAACAGAAACAGCAGTAAGTGATGACGGGTTGACTGAATTTGATTCTGCAATAGACCCCAATGAACAACCCAGTGACCAGGTCACTGACTATATCTCAGAGAAACACCAGTTACGTAAACAATTTTCAACGTGCAATCATGCATCATTTCACTACATGAACGATGTTTTATGGAAGCTGGCTAAGAAACAACTACGGAAAGATGAATGGAGAAAATTGGGGTCATACTGGGAATTCACTGACACGCAGATTCTGGCAATACAACACCAGTATACAGGTATCATGAGAACACGTTAATAGATCAACACATTCACACATATGCTTCTCTTCATAGAGACTATTCAATGAATTTTTTCAACTCACTAAAAGTGGTGGCATATTGTTATGTTCTTCAACTCTTTTTTGTGGACGGTGTTCAGCGTTCGGCGTTTGTAACAAGTTGCAGCAGGTGAACATTTGCAGGTTATTGTTATAAAAATAATTTATTCTGATTCTAACAGTTTGCCGTCAGGGAGCCTAATAAGTACAATTAAATGATAATTTAATTAGCCCAATTAAAGGGATATGTTTCATAACTTACTTAGAAACATCCCTTAATTAGCTTAATTAGGCTAATCATCTATTGATTCTTATTAAATTAACGTGGGACATACGTCCTAAAGATATTTTATTGGTTGGCTTACTTTAATATGTTCAATTGTTATCTATTTTACCCTAAATTTCTTGGTTCAAGGGTGGATTGGTTTCAGTAGTCATACTTCTTTGAAGTTCAGTGGAATAATGAAGTCCCAGTAACCTCGTGACCTTGACATCGGTCATGTGATCTTTGCCCTGGGGATTGATCATTCTTACTTCATTTTCCTATATCTTAATATGTACTACTCCCCTCAACAAACTGTTTATAATTTCATAAATCCAATTACTGCATAATTATAATTTACTTTCACATCTTGTTCATTGATGAGTTGTTGTGTGTTGAGAATGAAACCGAAGGTGTTCTTACACTACCCACCATCTTCAGAAAATGTTGCCGACTTTTAATTTATTTTGTTATTTGTGGCCTATAAGGACACAATCTTCAGAAAATGTTGCCGATTTTTAATTTATTTTGTTATTTGTAGCCTATACATGTTAGGACACAATCTTCAGAAAATGTTGCCGACTTTTAATTTATTTTGTTATTTGTGGCCTAAAAGGACACAATCTTCAAAAAATGTTGCCGACTTTTAATTCATTTTGTTATTTGTGGCCTATAAGGACACAATCTTCAGAAAATATTGCAGACTTTTAAATTACTTTGTTATTTGTGGCCTATAAGAACACAATCTTCAGAAAATGTTGCTGACTTCCGGTTATCGAGTACCAACTGTCCGCGAGTTGATAATTACCCTGGTTATGTTTTTTGAATTTTAACACATACCTATTGAATTTAGATCTCTACATGAAACACTATGTTTTTAGGAGAACAGAGCTGGAAGGAACATGGATACAGATTAATGCTAATTTGGCTATACGGTATTCCACCCGAGGAAAATCCAATGAAGTATCTATATGAAGGACTTTGTGCAATTAAAAGAAATGACATTGCAGGTACATTTTGTTACACACTCAAAGATTGGCAAACCTATATCAGCTCGACATTGTAAACAGATTGCAAATTAAATCGAAGTATATCAACGTTATTTATAGTCTCACGCATCCATAACGCAAGCATGGGTGACCATTTCCTCTCTTAATGTGTTATGTATTGCTGTTGCAAGGCTAGAAAACAGAATTCGAGGATAATCTATAAAACGTTCTATATTAATTGACAGTCTTATATTAGATTTTTGACATTTGAGCGTTGTCTTCTATATGTCCCAGCCACAGCGCTTTTAAAAGCACAAATCATACAGACCTTACTACACGTGACAGAGTATAAGTTCATATATTTTTGGATGAATTAAAAATACTCCAGAACATTGATATTTCAAATGACGTCGATGAGAACTCTTCTTAAAATATGTAATTTTGGTAATTGCAAACTTAACAACTTTTTATAATTGACACAAAATTGGCATAAATATTACGAATCCATTTTAGACTTTCGAAACATTTCGGGAAAAAATTAAAGTATCTGATAACTTTGTACACGTAGTGCATATCTTTTTTATTTTTATTTTCCTATTAATTCAATTTTAGAGATGATACGAAGGAAAGCCAACGCAGATGCAGCTAAGGTAGCGACTGGATCAAAGTGTACTGTCATGTAGAATATAACAGACCGTCTGGAGAAATGGGAGATGATACTTGTTTTTGACTGAGCACTATCATGCAGGGTTTCATTATGAGTCAATCAAGATTGACGTTAAGACATGTCTGAGGGCATCGACTTAGATTACTCTTAGTGCAGATGTATTGTCGTCGTGTATCAGACACACTTTAACACGTCTGATTCTAGATCGCACGCTACAAGTATGGTACACTCCTCGATTGAGCAAGGTTGCCTGATAATTGATTTGTTATTTGAATTTTGGTGTTTTGGCCAGAGTCAATGTAGCAAACACGTACGTGTAAACATGTCTAGTTGTGGATTGCTCTATCACCAGTTACATTGACCATGTGATAACATATAACATTCTGAGTTACATTCCTGCATCTAAATCTGCATACATTTAAATACGAATAACGTTTTCAGAGATTGAAGGCAGTGTGCATTAATACATCATGGCGTAGAATAATGGAAATAGCGTCATAAATCCCGGGACAATGAATCTCGGATCCAAATACCTCATCAATGGTTGAAAATCAAAATATTGACATAATTATATTCTAAAAGGCCGAAAGATTATGCGGCAACTATTGAAACGGGGTTTGTCAACATATTGTACTAGCTTTGATCTCTTAGAATCCGTTGAATTTTAAGCGATTGGAGTTGTTTAGATCACTTAACGAATGATATGAAATAATGAGGATTTAGGTTTTTTCGAAGTTTATAATGGCGGCCAATTGTGGATTTTAGCAAAATATCCCGAAAATTAAATCATTAAAAGGCCGAAAGATCTGTTGATGGATTTTGCTGTTTTATATATCAAAACACACATCTTTGCGGGTGTAACAAGGATCCGTTGAATCTTAAGAAAATAAATGATTTGCTAAAAAGTTATTAAGATTACATTTTAATGACAACTGCTCTCCATTGAAATCTTTGGATCATGTAATGTCGATTTACGCGCATGCGTTGTGATGTTATTTCCGTTATTCTACGCCATGACTGGCCAAATGTCACACTTTGACAAACATTTACTTTACTCTTCGTATTTTTCAACATTGTGATATCATTTAGTACTTATTGTATGACCCTCGTATCATTCGAAAAAGCAAATCTTGTGATTTATTGTCATAACTGCAATGTATGCATGTATGTCACTGTAAACTGTAAAACTTATTTAGACATTTAAAAAAGGAACACATTAAATACGTTTGTGCATATTCATGATTTAATAATTATTTTATGACATATTTAACAAAATATTGTATTTGAATAAATCAATATATTCCTGAGTTTATTAGAAAATATTACCGTTTTTAAATAAAAAACAAACATGACATGTCTTTAACGACTGACATATATACAGTAAACCAAGCCCTTTATGGACTTTTTGAAATGATTATGAAGAAGTAACGTAGTTGTAGAAATCTTAGTATCCAATTTGGGCCATTATTAGGATTCAAGTATGAAATCAACAGATACTTACTATTACTTCAACGCAATAGAATTATAAAAATTCTCCAGTATATATAATTATATATATCTAATTATTAGACTCCAGATGAAATCTGGAGTCTATTGTTTTCGTCAGTTTTCTTATTCTTCTTATTAGACTCCAGATTGAAAATCTGGAGTCTATTGTTTTCGTCAGTTTTCTTATTATTATTCTTCTTATTATTATTCTAACCCAGTTTTCTCAATAACCATAAGGTCTTCAGTAAAGTCAATCATTTGGTCAATTTAGGTTCAGAATCTAGTTCTCTGGAAATTGGGTCAAAATTTTATCTAGGTCAAAGGTCAAGAACTAGGTCAAATCCAGTACTTCGTCACTTTTTTCGATTTTCTCGGTCGTCCTTCAATATTTTCGATCCGGGTTTTTTTCATTGTGTTCCTTATAAAAAAGTAGGAAAGCTAGGGTCGATTTAGTTTTTTGATATCTCAAACCGATTTCGAGATATCAGTGTCCGAAAGCGAGGTCCAAAAAAAAGTTCTCCGAATCAAATGTCCAGGATATTAGTCTTATAGGAAATTTTCTCAGGATTCTGAATCTGCAAACCAAATTTCGATCAGACTACCGGTTCGGAAGTTATGGCGTTTTGAAAACTCAAAAATCGCTAAATTTGGTGCCCATGTTAAGTCAATGGGAAAAAATATTTTTTTGAAGTGAAAAATACGGAATATAGACTGAGTTCAGCTTCATATAATCAAAGCCTTTAAAAGAAGGGGACCTCAAAAGCCATCTAGCTTCAAAATTTGGACACCGAAATGCCTAGGTCAAAATCTAGGTCAAATTCATAGGTTTTCCTTATTTTTTCGATTCTGACACTACACTTTAATTATATTCTTCGAAATTTTGTATACATGTAGCCAAGAATATGCTAATAGTGTTAGCCTTTTGCCGTCAGAAAGTATTTTGACCCACTTTTGAGATATGGTGTCCGAAAAGTAGGTCAAAATAAAAAGTTCTCCAAATTTAATATATGAGTTATGAATTAAGAAAGGAATTTTGTCAGGAATCCGAATCTGCAAATCAAATTTCGATCCGACTTCCGGTTCGGAAGTTATGGCGTGTCCGAAAAGTAGGTCAAAATAAAAAATCTCCAAATTTAACGTATGAGTTATGAATTAGGGGTAGAATTTTGTCAGAAATCTGAATATGCAAACCAAATTTCGATCCGACTTCCGGTTCGGAAATTATGGCGTTTTGAAATTTCGAGAAAAACGATCTGATGGTATCCTGATAAAAAGTCAAGAGTAGAGAAGAAAATATTGAAAAATTCATCCATCCTTCCTATCTCATCCTATCCTTCCTATCTATCCTTCCTTTGTATCTTTTCCTTCCTATCCTTCCTATCCTATCCTATCCTATCTTCCTATTCTATTCTATCCTATCCTTCTTTCTTATTCTATCCTATCGTTCTTTCCTATTCTATCCTATCCTACCTTCCTATTTTATTTATCCATCTTTTTCTGGATGACTCAGCTTATTCTGGATGACTCGGCTTATTCTAGATGACTCGGCTAAAAAAAGTCTAGATCTGGAGTCTGAAATTGAACTCGTTCAATTTCCAAAATCTAGTTATTATTCTATCCCAGTTTTCTCAATAACCATAAGGTCTTCAGTAAAGTCAATCATTTGGTCAATTTAGGTTCAGTATCTAGTTCTCTGGAAATTGGGTCAAATTTTTATCTAGGTCAAAGGTCAAGATCTAGGTCAAATCCAGTACTTTGTCACTTTTTTCGATTTTCTCGGTCATCCTTCAATATTTTTGATCCGGGTTTTTTTCATTGTGTTCCTTATAAAAAAGGAGGAAACCTAGGGTCGATTTAGTTTTTTGATATCTCAAACCGATTTCGAGATATCAGTGTCCGAAAACGAGGTCCAAAAAAAAGTTCTCCGAATCAAATGTCCAGGATATTAGTCTTATAGGAAATTTTCTCAGAATTCCGAATCTGAAAACGAAATTTCGATCGGACTTCCAGTTCGGAAGTTATGGCGTTTTGAAAACTCAAAAATCGCTAAATTTGGTGCCCATGTTAAGTCAATGGGAAAAAATATTTTTTTGAAGTGAAAAATACGGAATAAAGACTGAGTTCAGCTTCATATAATCAAAGCCTTTAAAAGAAGGAGACCTCAAAAGCCATCTAGCTTCAAAATTTGGACACCGAAATGCCTAGGCCAAAATCTAGGTCAAATTCATAGGTTTTCCTTATTTTTTCGATTCTGACACTACACTTTAATTATATTCTTCGAAATTGTGTATACATGTAGCCAAGAATATGCTAATAGTGTTAGCCTTTTGCCGTCAGAAAGTATTTTGACCCACCTTTGAGATATGGTGTCCGAAAAGTAGGTCAAAATAAAAAGTTCTCCAAATTGAATATATGAGTTATGAATTAAAGGTAGAATTCTGTCAGGAATCCGAATCTGCAAACCAAATGTCGATCCGACTTCCGGTTCGGAAGTTATGGCGTGTCCGAAAACTAGGTCAAAATCAAAAATCTCCAAATTTAACGTATGAGTTATGAATTAGGGGTAGAATTTTGTCAGGAATCCGAATCTGCAAATCAAATTTCGATCCGACTACCGGTTCGGAAGTGATAGCGTTTTAAAATTTCGAGAAAAATCGATCTGATGGTATCCTGATAGAAAGTCAAGAGTAGAGAAGAAAATATTGAAAAATTCATCCATCCTTCCTATCTCATCCTACCCTTTCCTTCCTATCTATCCTTCCTTCATATCTTTTCCTTCCTATCCTTCCTATCCTATCCTATCCTTTCTTCCTATTCTATTCTATCCTATCCTTCTTTCTTATTCTATCCTATCATTCTTTCCTATTCTATCCTATCCTACCTTCCTATTTTATTTATCCATCTCTTTCTAGATGACTCAGCTTATTCTGGATGACTCGGCTTATTCTGGATGACTCGGCTAAAAAAAGTCTAGATCTGGAGTCTGAAATTGAACTTCGTTCAATTTCCAAAATCTAGTTATTCTTTTTATTATTCTTTTTATTCTTATTCTAACCCAGTTTTCTCAATAACCATAAGGTTTTTAGTAAAGTCAGTCATTTGGTCAATTTAGGTCCAGAATCTAGTTCCTTGGAAATTGGGTCAAATTTTTATCTAGGTCAAAGGTCAAGAACTAGGTCAAATCCAGTACTTTGTCACTTTTTTCGATTTTCTCGGTCGTCCTTCAATATTTTTGATCCGGGTTTTTTTCATTGTGTTCCTTATAAAAAAGTAGGAAAGCTAGGGTCGATTTAGTTTTTTGATATCTCAAATCGATTTCGAGATATCAGTGTCCGAAAACGAGGTCCAAAAAAAAGTTCTCCGAATCAAATGTCCAGGATATTAGTCTTATAGGAAATTTTCTCAGGATTCTGAATCTGAAAATTGAATTCGGATCAGACTTCCGGTTCGGAAGTTATGCCGTTTTGAAAGCTCAAAAATCGCTAAATTTGGTGCCCATGTTAAGTCAATGGGAAAAAAGATTTTTTTGAAGTGGAAAATACGAAATATAGACTGAGTTCAGCTAAATATAATGAAAGCTTTTAAAAGAATGGGACCTTAAAAGCCATCTAGCTTCAAAATTGGGACACCAAAATGCATAGGTCAAAATCTAGGTCAAATTCAAAGTTTTTTCTTATTTTTGCTATTCTGACGCTACAGATTAATTATATTCTTCGAAATTTTGTATGCATGTAGCCAAGAGTGTACTAATAGTGTAAGCCTTTTGCCGTCAGAAAGTATTTTGCCCCACTTTTGAGATATGGTGTCCGAAAAGTAAGTAAAAATAAAGAATTCTCCAAATTTAACGTGTGAGTTATGAACTAAGTATAGAATTTTTGTCAGGAATCCGAATCTGCAAACCAAATTTCGATCTGACATCTAGTTCGGAAGTTATGACATTTTGAAAGCTCAAAAATCGCTAAATTTGGTGCCCCATGTTATGTCAATGGGAAAAAAGATTTTTTTGAAGTGTAAAATACGAGATATAGACTAAGTACAGCTTAAAATAATGAAAGCCTATGAAAGAAGGGAACCTCGAAGGCTACCTAACTTCAAAATTTGGACACCAAAATCCCTAGGTCAAAATCTAGGTCAAATTCATAGTTTATCCTTATTTTTGCGATTCAGACACTACACTTTAATTATATTCCTCGAAATTGTGTATACATGTAGCCAAGAGTGTGCTAATAGCGTTAGCCTTTTGCAGTCAGAAAGTATTTTGACCCACTTTTGAGATACGGTGTCCGAAAAGTAGGTCAAAATAAAAAGTTCTCCAAATTTAACGTTTGAATCATGAATTAATAATAGAATTTTCTCAGAAATCCGAATCTGCAAACCAAATTTCGATTCGACTTCTGGTTCCGAAGTTATGGCGTGTCCGAAAAGTAGGTCAAAATAAAAATTCGCCAAATTTAATGTATGAGTTATGAATTAGGGGTAGAACTTTGTCAGGAATCCGAATCTGCAAATCAAATTTCGATCTGACTTCCGGTCCGGAAGTTATGGCGTTTTGAAATTTCAAGAAAAATCAATCTGATGGTATCCTGATAGAAAGTCGAGAGTAGAGAAGAAAATATTGAAAAATGCATCCATCCTTCCTTTCTGATCCTATCCTATCCTTCCTATATACCCTTGCTTTGTATCCTCTCCTTCCTATCCTTCCTATTCTATCCTTCTTTCCTATTCTATCCTATCCTTCCTTCCTTTTTCATCCATCCATCCATCCATCTTTTGCTGGATGACTTAGCTTATTTTGGATGGCTTGGCTTATTCTGGATGACTCGGCTAAAAAAAAAGTCTAGATCTGGAGTCTGAAATTGAACTCGTTCAATTTCCAAAATCTAGTTATTAATTAATTTGCAAAATAGTTTAAAAACAGTGGCACAATGGAAGACATGTTGCAATAATGCAATAATTCATTTAACCATCATGTTCATCGTAAACTACGTTTTAACCAGCCAGTCATCACACCAAGACTAACGTCGAGAATCCAGTGCAAATTAAAACCTTTTAATAAACCCTTACAATTGTATAGAAATCTAAATTTTGTTATATTTCTAATTGATCGAGTTTTGTTGGTAATTCTATTCTTCGTTTTTCCAGTTTTTAAAATATGTAGATGTTACGAAAGGTCGATCTCTTTTAAGTGTGTCAACCGTTCTCTTCTATCTTGCCACTTTGCAATTCTCCGAAGAGGGATGCATATCACTCCTGCTAAGGCCACGGTTGACCCAGCAACGTAGAATGATATTGTGTAATTCCCAGTCACATCAAATAAAAACCCTGAAAATTAAATCAAAGTGTCATGACAAAACCTGAACATGTAGAAATCATTTTTTGGATGTTAAACAAGATTTTTTTGTCAAGTGTGCATTTTTGAAATTCTGTATTGAACCCCGTAAAATGCATCAAAAAAGAGCAATATCTCCAGCACAACTCTAAAAAAGAATGTTATGTATATAACGTAGCCATGGCGGCTAGACGCTCAATAGCCTTTTTGGGTACAATTGGTATTCTAAAATGACATAAGTTTGGTACTAGTATTTTTTTTCTGATTCAGTTTATTTAAAAACCCTCTAAAAATTAAAGTCCTTGTACGTAAATGATGGCTTCATGCCCGACTGACAAATTCTGACATATAGGATAAAATAAGCACAAAGAAACATACCGGCTAATGGAGCTCCAAGGAAAGATGATAGGCCCTGACACAGTGTGACCAAGCCAAAAGAATTGGTTAATCTCTCGAGGCCAATCAGTTCAACCATTATGATGGAACGCAACGAAACAAATACAGCTGAAAAAAGAAAAACAAATCTGTTACACAAACTTCGTTCTATATGATATTTTTTAAGGTTTAACAAGAGAATAAACGTTAAATTGTAATTTAATTTGATATCTTACCGATTCCAAGCCCAAATACTACTGAATATGTTGCTAGGAGCCCATAATGCAGAAAAAATGGAAGAACTATTGTGATACTTCCGCCACAAATCAAAGCAATGTTGTTGATAATGAGGCAATCTGCCCATGGCTGATCTGACACCCAACCACACATGATGCGACCAATGGTGTTAGCTATTCCTAATATAGAGATGAGGAACGCCGCCTGCTCTTTGCTGACACCCATAGCTTGGGCATGATCCGGAAGATAAATAAATGGCACAAAGAAGCCTGAAAAACAACGTTTATTTTGAAATGTAGTGTATTATAAAATGTCTATAAGGCTCACTTCCCCATAAGTTTAGTAACCGGAAAAATAGATAAAATATCAAAACCTCTGAATGTTGGAATCTTAATTCTATTCTTTTATTACAGTAATTTGGAAGTATATGACATATCTGATGAATTACTTTAATTTTGGCAAATACAAACAGGCTTTGATAGGTGATTCAAAAAGTGATTTTCGGTTGCCAAACTTATGGAGGGGTGTACAGTATGTATACGTGCCGCTTATACATCAACACTGATCAGTATCAGGCGAAGGTAACGGCCGTCACCTTCGCATCAACTATGGCGGACGGGAAGTATCTTCAACCGCTTAAGGGAAGGTAACTTGGATTTGGGATTTACAGGTTATAAGATGACTGATATGCGGTGATGGGGTAACGTTATGAGAAAATTTATAATTGAGAGCTAAGAAAAGCCGGGTGGAAGATATCCTTGAACTGTGGCGCCCACTCATGATATATGAACAAATTATCATATTCAGTAGTTCCCATGCCATATGAGTCTGATTTGGTCCAAATATCAAATTAATTCGATGAAAACGATAAAAAACCAACACTTCCCGTCCGCCATCTTTGATGCGAAGGTGACGGCCGTTACCTTCGTATGATACTGACCAGTGATTAAAGGAATAGCACAGATTGACTAATAAGATATCTCCTTTCATATTGTTATTCATGAGAGGGCTTGGTTTTCAAGGTGTCGTTTATCAGGTTAATGAACAGAAATCTGGATACCTCTAGGAGCAGACTATCGTATAAATTGAAATTAATAAATTGGTCTGTGTTAAGACAAAGGTTCTAAAACATTATATTACGGGTTTATGTTACATGAAAATATTGTTACTAAAATTATTTTAGATTTATACCTCTCTGAACTGTGTAATATGAGGCAACAAAATATTAGAAATAGCGTATTGTAAATTATATGTGATAAGTATATATACATGTATATGGTCTATGTTCTCGGAATCATATCGGTTTTAAAAATAAAAAGCAATAATTCTTAATTGTCATCTTAATATTGGGCGAGTTTTGCGAGTAGTCTTATTTACCAAATAAGTTAATCCATCTTTAAACAGATACCATCATGGTCCTCTATTAGTTCCTTTCTAGAAGGTTATGAGTGAGTTAAAGTACTTCGATTTGGCCCGTACAATTTTGCTCAAAATGTTACGGAACAGTTAAATAGACTGCAGAGATCAACTTGCCATGAGTATCAAGAGAAAGCATAGCCTGAAGTGGAGTTCAACGAATCAAATCGCTTTTAAAGCTATGATTTTGATGGTTTTTGTCCAAATATATTTTTCATGACTATTTTTAAAAAAAAAAAAAGATTCTTTGATAAATCGAAGAAAGTCAGTTTTTTTCATTTTATAATAAGGTGACTAGGCGATTTAAGGGAATTTTTTCAAAGTGTTTGTCAAAGCCTATCAAAGATCACGAAAATATGAATGAACTTATAGTTACTGGCTCTACAATTACACTGTAACCAGTATTTAGCAATGACTATGACTGCCGATCACCTTTCTGGTTAACCTTTGTATATTATAAGAAAATGGAATGGAAGAACATCCTTACGAAACAGAACATATAGAGGGCTCACCTGTCATACAAAGGAAACAACTCAGTCCATACAGCACAAAAACAGGATTTTTCATCAGTGAGAAATCAAACATTGTCTTGAATATATCAATGATTGATCCACATATATTTCCACATTTGGTCCTATCGTTTCGCCCTTCACTTGGAACGTTTGTTATACTTTTGTGGTATGCCTTCGAATCCTCTTTGAATTCAGGTAAATGTGTTACACTACCACTATAGAATATATCCTTTCTGTACATAGGTTTATTTATATATTTTTGTCGGATTTCAGCTTCTTGTTTATGATTAGAAGAAGATGGTTCATAAATGCAGTCTGTACTTCTACACATTCTTTTGCAATCTGTGTCTAATTGTTTATTTGTTTGACTCAAATCAAGATTGGATTGAATGGCTATATTCTCGTTTGCTCCGTCACCAAATCCATTTTGGTCAAATTTTTCTTTATGCTTTCGGTAGAGTATACTTTTTGGATCATCATGTTTTGGTTTTGATATGCCATTAGTTCTGTTTCCACCCTCATTTCTCTGTTTGACTACAAGATCTGTCGTCTCCTCCAAACTCGCTGTGTCGTCAAGTTGCTGTTTTTTCCTCCTCGGGGGACCCTCAAGAGGGCGGAATAATGCTCCCATTACTACCCCATTCAACACAATTCCTGATATGATCCACGTGGCACCTTTCCATGTAAACGTGTCAATAAGATACCTGCAAAAGGGGGCAAATACAAATGCTCCGATACCACTGCCACATACAGCGATTCCTGTTGCAAGAGCACGTTTTTTCTCGAAATAGAACCCAACCATTACAATTGCTGGCAAATACATCAATCCAAATCCAGCACCTGAAAAACAAAATAAGAAAATATAGTAAAAGTAGGCTTATGCGTACTTGTTATGGGGTCTCGATCAACAATTAACTAAAATACAGTTAATAATACCTGATGGCAGAAAATATTTTTTGAGATTCCTGATGTCGGAGGGGGGGGGGGGACCTGCCCCCCACTAGGTTGGGCCCAGAAACATGTTTTAGGGCCCCAACATTTTTGTAGAGCCTCAAAATATGGGCCTTTTTGGGCATAACTTGGCCTCTTTGGGCGGAAATGTTTTTCCTGATTTGAAATGAGTCCCCTTTGTTAATTTCTGGATCCGCAAGTGGATCTTGCGTGCAAAACTACGTGTTTAATTGCGTCACCTGCATAAGTATCTTTAAAATATCATTTACTCATACATGTACTACTCAAATATATTATTCGATGATACCTTTCAAATTGTTCAATGAATGAATGAATGGGATTGCTATTTTCGATATGAGAAATCATATTGAATATTTTTTTGATTTCATAATACTCTGCATGATCTTAAATGAGTTCAACAAAACAGGATGAGTTTAACGTCAAAGCATGGGATACGATGGCGTCTGAACATTGGCATATCAAATTGCAAGAAAGTTCAGTAGTTCACCCTCATATCGTATAGGTAGGTATCAAGGCAGCAGCCTCTATAAAATTATCTTAATATATTTGTCAGAGCACAAACACCTGAGTCGGCCATTTTGTTTTCAAATGGCTCCTGTATTTCGTAGATTAGAGTACAAGATTAGAGCAGCGCTATTCAATAAAATGTTATGTGCCATTGAAAAAGGATGCTAGACAAACAATAAATGGTAAAGGAAGCCTATTAATGGGTAAAGTGATATAATGATCAGTAAAATTGACCAATCGTGTATTCAAATGATGAAGTGCAATGTCTACTACAAACAAGTACAAGTGGCACTAAAAAGGTTTATTGTGTGTTTGTATATAATTATTAGGCCAGATTCATAAACGTTTGCAATATTAAAAGCATTTTTCATCTTACTTTATACTTGCATATGGGCAAATTTACGATAATTGATATTTTCAAATATAGTCAAATTCTGTTATTCTACCAAAGCCTGCGCCATGTGTGTTGATATCAACGGCATTAAATGTGTGCTATTTTGATGTCAACACAATTGGCTGTCATGACCATGCGATATATACTGAAATTATTGCTTATTAATTCTTAAAAACAACTTTACGATGATTTTTTGGACAAAAATCAAAGTTTGCTAAAACAAACTCAGACAACATCTTAACAAATACTGTATCTTGTGGTTCAATAATTTCCAACTTGTTAATTAAGTATGTTTGTAACCAGCTCTCAAAAGAGATTTGCTTAATATTTCATATTCATAAAAAGAACACATTTTATCATGTCCATATGATTTGTATCCTCCAACACATAGGCAACACATTCAATTTACCAAGAAACTAGATATAATTGAGAATTTATATAACAATCATTGAAATACTACATTGGATTAGTTTCATTTTTCAAAATAATTATTTGAAATTGTATCGGTGCGTAGCTGAAATCTGACTGTTTAGAAGATATAAAATATTGGACAGCAAAACCTAAATTCACCATAAAAATAACAATATTTCGTCTGATGTTTCCGTTGTCTGTCATTTAAAAGGTAACCCCTAAAGGCACTTTCTGGAGAAGCTTTCAAGAAAGTATTCATCAACAACGTTTATTTAAGCAGTGTGTTGGAGGATACAAATCATATGGACATAAAAAGATGTTTTCTGTTTTACGAGCATAAGTATCAAACAACCCTTTTCCAAGAGCTGGTTGCAAACATACTTTGTTAACAAGCTGGAATTTATCGAAGCACATGATATATTATTTTTTATGGTGTCTGAGTTTATACAAGAAAATTTTGAAGTTTGTCCAAAAAATCATCGTTTAGCTGTTAATTAATTAATAAGCAATATTTTCAGAATATATCGTATGGTCATGATAGCTAGTTGTGTTGACATTAATTAGCACACATTAAATGCCGTTGATATTAACACACATGGCGCAGGCATTTGTTGAATAACAGAATTTGACTCTATTTGAAAATATCAATTATCGTAAAGTTGCCCATATACGCTCTTGCGTTGTTGAAATAACTAAAATGATGTAACAATAGAACACGTATTACACCTGAGGGCCATGCTATATGTTTTACTTTTTCATGACTATCAACATACTGTGATCAATTACTGTAATTAACACGCGCGGTTGTTATTGGACCCCTTTTTGTTCGTGAAGACCCGTGGCACTTTCATGAGATGATGAATAGCCTCTCAGAATATCACGTTTCAAAGATGCGCATGATCATGATGTTTTCACGTCGATAGTAGGAATATAAGTTATTGAATGATTTGAAGTGCAATACAGGATCTATTCTGCTCGAGAAATCCCGCATTGGAACGAGACGAAAGTGAGTACCAATACAGAATATCGAGAGCAGAATATATCTGTTATATTACTTTCTGCGCTTTACTATACTCGTGACAAAAATAAGAATACTTATTCACTGGCCAAGCATGTGATGTCAGTAAAAAGGCGAATTCAATTAGACATATTCATCGGCTGTGGCGTTATGTAAAGTTTCATAGAGGCTATAAATAGTTCCGAGTGTAATACTCTCTAAATGTGTTAACCATCTTCATAAACTTTTAAATTTTTACAAATAAACCAGAGGACGCAGGACTTATTATTAGCATATTTCGGGCGTCCGAAAAAATGAGACACGTTCAAGTATTTTCTCGGAAACTGATGAACCAAATTCACTGAAAATTTGTACAAAGTACTCTTAGAGCATCATCGGCAAGGTGTGCAAATATAATAAAGATCGAGTAAATACTCCACAAAACTAAGAAATAAAAAAAGCATTTGAAAATTCCTCATTCCGGAGCTCTGCGATTAGATCTCTAGCGAATGTATCAGCTATCAGTGATAGCATCTGTTAATCATTTAAAATAGCTTGTCTGTGTGTCATGTCTACTTAATTCGTTTCATTCTTCTCAAATATCCAAAGTCCGTTCATTCTAAAAAGTTCTTTGGAGGTGTTATTGTTAGAATAATTACAGAAAAGTATTTTGCTTGGAAATGGATTAATACGTGACTTTTACATTGATATTGGTTATTTTGACATACTGTCTTTAATTAAAAAAGCACACATAATATGAGGCCAATCTCTTACAAATTCAGAGCAATCGGCAGAAGATATCCTTATGTGTTTTAAGATTTCAAAAAAATTTGGCTTATTTGTTGAGAAATTACATGTCGAATTGCTTCTCATTTTTGGTACAAATGCTATGAAGTTCTCATTGCGTTGCTCCGTTATGGGATATTATGACATACTATCTTGATTTTCTTAGTTTTCAGATAACATTTACCTGATCTTTGTTGTATTTTTGTACCTTGCTAGCGATACACTTGGGCCACTTTGTACCAATCTTAAGTAAATTTGATTCATCAGATACCGGGAAAATAATTGTCCAAAAGTGTCTCATTTTTTGGGACACCTGATATATCCAAGTAAACCCTACCTCCGAGGCCACCGTAGAGAACAATTAAGGCGTCAACATTCGGTGAAAAGGTGCTAGCAAAGAACGACGCTGCTGCCAACAGGCTACCTGCTATTGAAACTGCTCTACATCCAAATTTGTTAGCTAACCCCCCGGCTATTGGACCTATAATAAACAATAACTAAATGTATTAACATATGGCTGAAATAGGGCAAAAACTGTATCTTGATTCATACACCTGAACAATATATTAATCGATGTAATTTTGAAATGATGAAGTGAAGAAATTGTGAAATTCTGAAATCTTAAACATAGATATTAAATCTTGTTATTAGATATAGTGTAGGTAGAAGTATTTTGAACAAGTTGAAACGAAGGGAAACCTCTTAATTTCATATCGCACATAGCATCTGATATTCTAAATCAATTTTAGGGCTGACGTTAGGCTGATGTTACATGATAAGCCCTACGTCATTATATTGAATCAAAATTGATTTTCATGAAAAAGTTGTCATTCAAACATATGACATATGACTATCGATTATATTTATGATATGTTCAAACTCATTCTCTGTCAATGTGTCCTTTATGGTACTCAATGTAGCAGCTATTAACATGTAAGCCATATGTCCAGTAATAGTAGATGCCCCCAATGTGTAAATTCCATATTCAATATTTAAATACATACCATACAACGTAGCTTCCATTAATAAATTCAGATCATACATCTTTGAAATACCATTCAATATGCATGTAAATTGCATGTACTCACCTATAGTCTGATACATGACATTCAATGTGGCTGCTCCAGTATAGAAATTGCATGTACTCATCCATAGTCAGATATATGACATTCAATGCAGCTGCTCAAATTTGGAAATTGCATGTACTCACCCATAGTAAGATAGATGTCATTCAATGTAGCTGCTCGAATATGGAAATTACATGTACTCACCTATAGTCAGATACATGTCATTCGATTTAGCTGCTCCAATATTGAAATTGCATGTACTCACCCATAGTCTGATACATGTACATGCAATTCAATGTTGCTACTCCAATATGGAAATTGCATGTACTCACCTATAGTCAGATACATGCCATTCAATGTAGCTGCCAGCAATATGTAAATTGCACTCACCCATAGTAAGATACATGCCATTCAATGTAGCTGCCTAATATGGAAATTGCATGTACTTACCCATAGTCAGATACATGCCATTCAGTGTAGCTGCTCGAATATGAAAATTACAGGTTCTCACCCATAGTCAGATACATGCCATTCAGTGTAGCTGCTCGAATATGAAAATTACAGGTTCTCACCCATAGTCAGATACATGCCATTCAGTGTTGATCCAACCCATGCAGTCTTTCCTTTGCTTTCTCTGTAGTAATCCAGGAATTCGAGGTAGAATATTCCAGCTGAGAAACATACCCCATCAACCAGTACGTTCATTATGAATGACGAGAACACTATCACCCAACCCCATCCACCATCAGGAGGAACGGGTGGGCCGATGGAATCATCTGTAGCTACTTCATCGTCATCATCGCTGCGCTGAATCTTGTCAGTCATACTTTCCTAAACAAAGGACATGTCGTTTGATTATATTGAAGTATACGCTGTTGTCGATTACAGAATAGCAATCGTGTTACCAGTACAGCGATTAAGCCTTGAACTTGAGTTTTAATTGATTTTTAAAATTGTTGAAGTAATTTGAGTTATTTTCTCGTTTGTGAGCTAGCTTAAAATGATTTAGATCAATATTTATTAGTCCCTCTTGACACATAGAACTGTTTGTCTTATCAGGATGACCTTCAGTGACAGTGCACACTGTGCTCGACCTTCAATGACAATACGCATTTTATTTGTCGACACAGGCCTACCATGCAAAACAAAGAGTGTGATTTAGAAGTAACCTAACAAACGCATGGCAATTTTTTTCTTTTAATTAGGCAAATAATTAATCTATTCAATAACTATTCTGCTATTACTAGTTAAGTGAGTGCACATTGTAGTTATTACAAAAATAGTACACCCCTAACTTGTATGTAACGCAATTTGCCAAAGTTCCTATTTAGTTAGAGTATGACATATTTAGTACCGTGCTTGCAGTTTAAAGTCTAACATATGTTTGGTCTTTTACGTAACCAACGAGGGTCTAAAGTACAGAATTTCTTCTTGTATAAAATATGATAACAACTGTTTTTAATATCATTGACCTATCATGTTGTTTGTTGATTTTTTTGTATAATCAATGTGCAAGTCGTTGCATTTGTTGTCTTCTCTTCTTTGAATGTCAGTTGCCTCATATCGAAATATTATATACTACTCAAAAATGTTAAGGACCAGTATTTTTCCTCGTAGGTTTACATGTTAACCACCCCGTATGTTTGAACTATATTCACTCAGCTCGAAACCAAAAAACTGATAATGCAAATGTACCTTGACTCTATTTTTTGTTTCAAGAGAAAGTCTGGTCGCACAATGTCGGTGTGCGCACGTATTGCAATTGATGTCCGATCGCGCAACACCGTTAACGTCCCCAGTAGGGTCGAAGTTCGGAAGTTCGGCAAGTATATTGAACGTTTCTAAACTAGGATGTCATCTCATTTGAACTACGTTGTCACACGATCAAATAACAGAACGGTATGGTCGCAATCAAATTTTGTATTGATTCAAAATTCTAAATCACCTTCCCGTCCGAACACGTCAATGAAGTTCGTAAATAGACCGTAGAAAGTTGCAGCTACGTTCACTCAGTTCTCACACAGTTTTAAAACCAGTTCGACAAACGTTTTAAAAAACGCCGTGGCAAATAATTTGTTGTGATACCTATATTTTTGCTGAGTATAACAAGCAGTGTTAAATACGTCCTTAAACAAATTAAACCTGTTTAAACCCGTTCTCAGTACACAGCCAATATAATTCGGCGCCGTTTCGGCATCGAAAAAAAATCAGCGCTGTTCCGGCACCGTTTCGACACCGTTCCGGCACCGAAACCTTTCGACACCAAAATTTGCCACCGGACTCGAAATTTGGCACCGAAACGGCGTCGAAAATCAGATTGCACTTTGGGGGTGTACTTCCCGATACAGTTCAACTCGTTCTTAAAGCGTCCCTAGTAGAATTGAAGTACGATAGTTCAATTCGCGGTTCGTCCAGCGCGTCTCAAATATGTTGTCACTCGTTCTGATTGCAGAACGTGGCGACCACTAGAACATTTTGAGCACGCTTTAAGTTTCGGTGGATCTACCCGCTCCAGTGCGTTCATGAAGATTGTAACGTTACTAACCCTACGTTACAAACCCTACTACGTTCTCGAAAACGGGTTTCAACTTTGTACGAACGGACTGGACGTACTTAGAACCGTTTGGGGTATATTTACAAACTTCATCGAACGTACTCCAACGGGTAGGTCCTCTAGAACTTAAAGCATGCTCAAAATGTTCTACAATTAGAACGAGTGACAACCTACTAACGACGAGCTGGACGCACTACGAACGGAACCGTCGTACTTCAATCCTACTAGGGACGTTTTACAACGAGTTGAACTGTCTGAGGACGTATTGAGAACGAGGTAGAACTACTTGCAAACGGGTTAAAACTGATTAAGAACGTATTTATGAACGAGTTAGCAAAAATATAGCTATCACACCAAGCAAGTTGCCACTGCGTTCTTCAAAACTGGTTTTAAACTGTGTGCTAACGGAATGAACGTAGCTACAACGTTCTACGGTTTGTTTACGAACTTCATGGACTTTCCCGGACGGGGAATATGATTTAGAATTTTGAATCGATTCAAAATTCGATGGCGACCATACCGTTCTGTAATCAGGCCATGATGACCTTCAAAACTAAGGGACGCGTTATACGACGTTGCACACCGACGTGGTGCGACCTGAACGAACTGCGAATGAAATGGACGTATTGAAGACTGTTTATGAACGAAGTAGCTAATTATTTTAGACATATTTGACGACCACAGCCAGATTGAGCCCGTTTTACGACGTTTTCGTAGGACTGGCAAGAACGGGTAAGAACTAGTTTGGTGTGATACGGGGATAAGTACGTCCAATCCGCTCGTATACAGGTGAAGCCCGTTTTCGAAAGTGATAACTTGGTGTGATAGTAGGGTAATTGTACATCATTTCTCACAGCTCCTCTACTGGTTGAGAGGGGGTTTGCTGTGTAATGAAGTTACACGGCAAAGTTCCAAAAGTTAATGAATATTCCTGTAAATATTAGTTTCCCAAAACTGTTGATTTTAATTCAAAATCGAAACAAAACTCAATGACATGGTCAGTGGGTGTAAAAATGTGAGGAACTCTCCTCATAATCTTTCTACAGTTATCAATTGAAATGTATCGACTGATAACCTTCTCTCACATTAATATTTTTGTTTGCAATAACAATCGAAATTGATAAGTAGAGAGCAACAAGTAACCATACAGGTTATTACAACCATTTATAAGCCTCCTATTGTCGATCATGTTTTTGACTCTTAATCAGATAAAGATATATTATACGAGTAAAAATACTTTCAATTACACTAACCGTGACTATAACAAAGCATCGTGGCCTCCATTTAAGTATACTAAGAATTACGGTATCTATAAATTCAATGTTCTCACCTTTTTCACAAATGCATCAAATGCCCAAGCAATTATCCAATAGCTTTATTTTGTTTCAAATAAACATAATCACGTACAACTTTTTAATTAAACATTTCCAAAAGGATGTGAACACGCGTTTCTATCTCTTGTTATCTATTATAAAGTGTATACGTAACCTTCTCAACATATTCGGATTGATAATTATTGCCTAGCAGGTGTTTAACTTTAATGCAACTTACATGTAGATACATTTAATTTAACTATTCACAGCAAGATATATAGAATGCAGTACAATTACGCAATGTCATATAAGCCGGTTTAGTTTTTTTATTCATCATGTTTTATTCAATACAATAATATATTTTAAAATAAAATTTCCAAAAAGGCGACTTTATTTAACATTCGAACATGACTGTATTCACACCTTCTATAAACTGTAAACAAAGTCAACATTTCACCCGGGGTATATTCGCGAAGAAAACCCCTGGTAATACGTGTAATGTGTGACGTCATAACGGCAGGTCGTAGTAATGGCGGACCATAATGAATATTCGAAACATTTTGGTGAGTTTTCATGTTCGAATCGTAATATACACCTCAGAGCAGGGATAATATCGTCAAATACACCCCTTAGGGCTAGGCACAAAATTTTTCGAACCCCCTTCGTTCGTTCTGGGTGCAGAAAATATTTGTGCCTAGCCCTGCGGGGTGTATTCGACAATATAACCCCTGCTCTTCGGTCTATATTTCTTAATTATAAGTCGCAAAGTTAATTAACAAAAATTTTATTTAAAAAGAACAATCCATTTGGTGAAGTAAATTGGTGAATAAACTAAGCATAGAAGGTTTGATAATTGCCTCTAACACTCGGACACTTACACACTTCTGGAGAAAAGAGGCACTTGGTTAGCCGGTTTAGTCAATCAAACAAATAGGTAATTAAATATAGTAAAGCTTAATCAAGGACAACAAACAAACAAACAAATAAACAATCAATCAATAAATAAACAAACAAACAAACATGGGTTGAACTGACCTGTCAGCTTATGTTTCTGCATTGCCATTTGATGCTGACTTGACAAGGACAACAATGTATCTGATGACAGTGTTGACAGAATATACATCTACCTAACTGATCTTACAGGCCCTGCTGATGTAAATGTCCATATGGTGCGACAAATAAAGGCTCAGAGACATGCCGACATACGTTGCAATATTGCTCAGCTCCATCAACATATTTTACCATCGATATCAATAAAGGATGAATTATTATAATGGCAACACCCAAGCTCAATAAAGCAGTAAGTCGCCCGTATGTTTAAATGCTATATCAGCATGTCAGAAAGATATCAACGATTTTTGCTATTTAACAAGAGTATCTATAAGAAAAAAAGAAAAATTGTTTAAAGTGAAAAAGTCGTTAAGAAAATTCTTGCTTGAATATGGCGTTTGGAAACATTCAATACCTTCGATTTTTAAAATATGACTGTTTTGATTAATCTTTAACCATAAAGTCTCTGTCGAAGCATGACATAGTTTTACCCTGTTTATTTCTACAAATCATTCAGGCACCATTTTCTCATGAAAGATTTGCAAACAAGTTTTTCAGTGAGTAACAGGTCTGTCAACACTTTCATTAAAAAAACGTCAACTTTACATTACAGATCGATTTTGCGATGATCAATACATAACTGTCTTATTTGAAAATAATATAACACCAGCGTTCCCTTTCTTTTATAAAATAGCAAATATTTGACAGCACAAAAACATTGACATCACTGCCCAATAAGCCATTGCATTTTACTTTTCTTGCGAATCGATAAGAAGAAACATACCTTATTTTTGTGTAGCTTAGTATTAGTAAGTGTGTATCAATCGACGATGCCCGCATTTGATTCCTTATACCATGTACATGTATACTATGTTGTTGCATACATTGATGATGGCATAAAGTCGTGAAACTAC